CCCGATTTTTCCCGGACATGGCGAGTTTTTTGTGACACCCCAAGGTGTTCTCCTACCACCTCACAAAATTTCAAGGGGGGTCGTCGGAGGAAATTTTTTTTCGTAATATAGCCCATATAAGGCGCCGGTCAGTCGAGGTCAGTTTTGACCCCTTCTCCGTAGACTTTTCGGCCAACCGTCACCGGCCTTCGTGTTCTATTGCCCGAAGGCACCATCGTGCCAAATTTGACGCGCCTGCGGCGCCGGGAAGTGCCCTATCGGGCACTTGACCACTTTGCTTTATATATATAGACGAAGCTAGGCATACTGCCTAGCTTCGCTTAGGTTTTTAAAAGGCATTTGAGAATTTGAATACTTAATTATTTAGCGATGGATTGGGTGTGGAGTGCTTTAATAAGTTTAATAAGTTTAATTTAAACAGTAATGCTAACTTTAGAAAAAATGTTTTTGTTAGTCATTTACATGCAGATTCGTAGCGAATTTTGGAAAGTACGCAATGTATAACTAAAATGGAATTAGAACTACACAGGTTTCATGAACAGTATATCTCATAGTTTATATTACATTGCCTATTGAAATTAATTAATTAATTTAATTACCATACTTAACTAAATTAACAACTTAATTTTGTACTAAAATAAATGCTATACTTCGTCATTTTCTGTTTCTGTTTAAAATAGTATACAATTATTTGAAAAATAATAATTTTAAAAACGTTACCTCCCTTGAAAACTGAACGTATGACGTATGTCATTGTTTACTTATATTGTTTGCTTATATAAGAAATTACGTTATATGAACTTATTTAACGACTATAATGGCTTTTTCCGACGGGAATAAAGTTTTTTTGTTACCCTCCATGGTCGGTCTACGACGTCACATAATATTAAGGGGATCGTTCGTCAATTTATATATATATATATATATATATATATATATATATATATATATATATATATATATCTCATATAAGGAGAATTTCACTCAAGATCATCTTTTAGCCCTCGTCGAGGGCTTTGAGTCTGACCAACAGTTTTTCCATACGGCCTAGTCATCTATAGTAGTGTATGCAAAAACTTAGCATGATGTACAGACATTAAGTAACCTAAAAATTGTGTTAAAATTTCCCTGTTTTTCCCATAAAATACAAAGATTATATAGGGAAATACAACTGGTCAGTTTTGACCGCTTTACGAAGTTTTCCCAGAATTGCCGAGTTTTTTATGAAACCCCTAGGTGTTCTTCTACCACCTCACAAAATATCAAGGGGGGTCGTCGGAGGAAATTTTTTTTCGTAATAGAGCTCATATAAAGAGAATTTCACTCGCGGTCACTTTTTAGCCCTCGTCGAGGGCTTTGAGTGTAACCGACAGTTTTCCCTAAAGGTCAAGCTATTGACCAAGGAGCATGCAAAAAATTTGCCAGATATACTGAGCTTAAGTACCCTAAAGTCTGCGTTGAAATGACCCTCTGTTTTTCCCATAAAATACAAAGATTATATAGGGAAATACAACTGGTCAGTTTTGACCGCTTTCCGAAGTTTTTCCAGATATGCCGAGTTTTTTGTGACACTCCTAGGTGTTCTTCTACCACCTCACAAAATATCAAGGGGGGTCGTCGGAGGAAAATTTTTTTGGTAATAGAGCTCATATAAAGAGAATTTCACTCGCGGTCACTTTTTAGCCCTCGTCGAGGGCTTTGAGTAAGACCGACAGGTCTGCCCTACGGTCAAGCCATTTACCTATAAACATGCCAAAAATTAGCCAGATGTAAACAGGGTAAGTGCCCTAAAATCCGTTTTGAAATGACCCTCTGTTTTTCCCATAAAATACAAAGATTATATAGGGAAATACGACTGGTCAGTTTTGACCCATTTCCCGATTTTTCCCGGACATGGCGAGTTTTTTGTGACACCCCAAGGCGTTCTCCTACCACCTCACAAAATATCAAGGGGGGTCGTCGGAGGAAATTTTTTTTCGTAATAGAGCTCATATAAAGAGAATTTCACTCGCGGTCACTTTTTAGCCCTCGTCGAGGGCTTTGAGTAAGACCGACAGGTCAGCCCTACGGTCAAGCCATTTACCTATAAACATGTCAAAAATTAGCCAGATGTAAACAGGGTAAGTGCCCTAAAATCCGTTTTGAAATGACCCTCTGTTTTTCCCATAAAATACAAAGATTATATAGGGAAATACGACTGGTCAGTTTTGACCCATTTCCCGATTTTTCCCGGACATGGCGAGTTTTTTGTGACACCCCAAGGTGTTCTCCTACCACCTCACAAAATTTCAAGGGGGGTCGTCGGAGGAAATTTTTTTTCGTAATATAGCCCATATAAGGCGCCGGTCAGTCGAGGTCAGTTTTGACCCCTTCTCCGTAGACTTTTCGGCCAACCGTCACCGGCCTTCGTGTTCTATCGCCCGAAGGCACCATCGTGCCAAATTTGACGCGCCTGCGGCGCCGGGAAGTGCCCTATCGGGCACTTGACCACTTTGCTTTATATATATAGATATATATATATATATATATGAGTTTGCCCCGGGCATCTACATAGGTCTGCACGCCACTGGGTCAAAGTGCACAATGGCAGGGGCTTCCTCCATCACTTTAATTAGTCGTAAAGGGTCCGAAGCGTACGGTGTCCTGGCTCCCACATAAGCATTAATTTAAGACGCCCACATTTGTTTCAAAGAGCACCATACTATATGGATACGTGGACTACTACAATCCGTGACTAAATCGTACGGCCCAGCACTCCAGCCGCAGTATAAGCAACTGCTTGCGATCACCATGGAAACTATGGGAAGTTGTTGAGTAAACCTTGGCTAGGTTTCTGGCATAATTTAAAAAAATAATAATTTTCGGCGTACGGCCTGTTTTATATGCTGTAGGTAACATTTTTTCGGGGGTGGGGGTGGGGGGGCTTAGCCCCCACGAAGAGATGCCTGGAAGAAACTCTGGCTATAGAGTCCTTGCAAACACGTGACCTAAATCACGTGATACCTACGCCCGCCGCCACAGTGGTGTACATCAGACGTAAACACAATCAGCTGTTCGCCAGCGCTGGACGTGTTCACCAGCGCTGGACGTGTTCACCGTATGTAAAGAATCGCGCCCGAGGAAAAGGAAAAATATGTTAAAAAACTTGAACTCTTAGGAATTGAAGATCATTATACAGTTATTGACAGTTTCGTGGATAATATAAATATGTGGCCGAAATTTCTAAATAAAAATACTGTTAGTAATACCGTTTGCGTTTAGAGTTTAAGTAGACGAAGCTGATCAAATGCAGTAATATATTATAGGTTATCTACTGTAGCAAACGTGAGACCACTTAACTCCTACAAAACCCACACTACAACGGCTAATATAATCCATGGGTAATAACCAATCTGGGTAGCATGTTATACAATTTAAGACCCTTATAATCCAGCAGGGAAGTAATCAGACACATTAATACTGACATTCAACCCTCATGATGGCTGCCCCCACCTGTATCTAGCCCACAATAAAACCTAAGAGGAGTCTGCCCTGCCCTCCCCTGAAAATGTCTCACCTCCGTGATACCCAGCCCCACAGAGATAGTATTTCTTATATAATTTTGACCCTCAGGGCCCAGCAGGGAGAACAAAGGGGAAAGTCCCACTGCTCTCCCCTCAACACTTCTCACCTCGGTGTCATGTTATGTCATTTATAGCACACATGGCTTATCAGGGGAAAGCACTAAGGCATTAAGAATCTTAACTCTGGACAGCTACACACTAGTATACTAGCTACACACTAGGTGCCTACTGTAAACTACTAGACTGTAGGCCCTATGTAGACCTGCAATTGTATCAATTGTAGACTGGGTCCATTGTTATTATTCTAAACCATCTCACTTATAATGTTTCTAGATCTAGCTTGATTTGTTTCTTTTATAAACAGTGGATTTTAAAAAAAAATTAGCCTAATCATTAACCAAATAATAATAATGTTGTTATTTGTTGTTGGCTGGTATGATCTAGATTGTACTACTAGGCTACAAAAACTTAGTAGACCAATTACTAGATATGAATTTGAATTTAATTAAACTCAGTCCAGTATCAGATACATATTGCTGTAAAAAGACAACAAAGTAGGTAGGCCTTAGTAATTTATTAAAGCCTTCTACTACAATAATATCAACTACATACTTGTATGAAGTTTTTACAATTTAATTTAAGTAGCAGATTCTAGATCTAAGTCTAGTCATACAATCTATTTCAATTTCAGAAAATTTCGTTTTCTAAAAAAATGATTAGATAATAGAGCGAGATTTTAGATCTTAGAGACAATTAAATGCTTTATTAGGCCTATTATGACTACTTTTGATTTATTATGGGTGTATTTTGAATCGAATGTAGATCTAAAGTAATTAAATTTAAGTAAAGAAGTATATACTAGATTCTATGTCTACCCAGCGGAGCCAGGTATTAGGCCTACTATTAGATCTTATTATTCTTATTATTACTTTTGACTTTGTCTTTTACTATTAGTATTTGTGAAGGTCGAGCATATTTGTTTTATTATTAGTTATCTTTTATAATTAAAATGAAGTTTATTATTTTACTGTCCTTACCTGAAACAAAGTATCGAGAACTGCAATTGATCAGATTCGGCTACTTTAACTCTAAACGCAAACAGTATTACTAACAGTATTTTTATTTAGAAATTTTGTCCACATATTTATTTATACGAAATTGTCAATAACAGTATAAGGATCTTCAATTCCTAAGAGTTCAAGTTTTTTAACGTATTTTTCCTTTTCCGCGGGTGCGGTTCTTTACATACAGTGAACGCGTCCAGCGCTGGTGAACACGTCCAGCGCTGGCGAACAGCTGATTGTGTTTACGTTTGGTGTACACCACTGTGGCGGCGGGTGTAGGTATCACGAACGGACGTGACGTCATATGAAAGGACTCTATAGGGCCTAAGCCTACAGTTTTATTTTTCTGCATTTACGTTAATTTGAGGTCTTACTCGCACATGCGCACATCGTGTTTCCTTTTCTTCCTTTTCGGCTTCCGCTCTACACCAAGAGGCATGTGTAATCTCGTTTTCTCAAATAAAAACCCTTGCGGTTGATAAGCCCATTTAAATTATTTATATTTTCCAATATTATAAAGATAATATACTATTTTCCACAGATCTTTAAAAAGGTTTCATCATCATGCAAAACGACGCAGGAGAATTCGTGGATCTGTTGATTCCTCGCAAATGGTAACATGTCCTGTTATCGATAATCAACCTTTTTTAATTTTATAGGCTAAAACATTTTTTTTTATTTGCGCAATCATCGGATTATTAGCATAATCATTTACTAATACTATTTGAAAATAACAACCTCTCAAAAAAAAAATTTAGGCCCTAACTAGAATGTAAATAATAATTCTAATATTTCTATAAAAAACTTTTTAAAAAGTTTTGAAGTAGGCCTACAAATATTTCTCAGCCGGCTATTTATAGTTCGCAGTTTTTAGCTGACCAAACAAATGCGTGTAGATCTATATTTTAAAAACTATCTTGCATATTACACTAGTCTTTTTAGCAATCTGATAACTGTTCGGGTGGTCAAATTGCGTCATGTATTTTCTGGCATATTTAGCCCTACCACCTAGGCCTAAAGATGTTTTATATTGTAAATAATTGTAAAAACCTGCCCTTTTTGCTAGTGGTAAACATTTTAAAATATAGACTAATTCTAAGAATGTCACTGGACGAAAAATCGTCTGAAGTTATGCATCCGGTCTGTACGCCATGTTGTTAGCAACCAACCATGCCTCCAGTGTAGCAAGTACTACTAAATTAGGGTTAAAGTTCAGGTTAAGTTATACTTATAAGGATAGATCTAAACACGTTAGTTCTACATAACAGTAGCCTACATGTTGCATAAATAGGGGAATTTAAGAATCACAGAAAAATGCCTCCCTCTGATTGGTTAGAGTACGAATAGGGCTGTTTGTAGTGAACTCATAGCTGCAGCCATTTAAAATGCTAAAAAAATTAAACATACTGGAGCCACTTTCTTTTTCAATATCAATGTATTAATAAGTCTGATTCAACAGAAAAAACATTTTGAGATTTATTTTCACCTAATTGCCTGTAATTATAAAAAAAAAAAGAAATTTAATTAGAAAAAAAGTCGTAGGGAAAAAAATGATTTATGCCTACATAAAACTTATTTCCTGTTTGCCAATGAGACTTCCACCAGACTGTAGGCCTACTACATAAAAATATTCTCTGGATGCAGCAGGTGCATAGGACTAAAGGTTTAAGGAAAATACATTTGTGTGTGTGTGTGTAAAGTGCCTCATAATTAATAACTTCTTAACTGCTAATATGGTCATAATCACAATTCAATTCTATCAAAATATAGGGACAAAATGGTTTTTATAAATATCTCATTCCCTTTTAAGTTACATTAGTACAATGTTGATTATTTTTTATAGGTCCTATTGGTTTACAATTTAAATCTTTGTACATATCATAACTAAATTTAGAAATGGTATTTTTATTTACAGCTCTGCCAGTAACCGCATCATTGGTGCTAAGGATCATGCTTCTATCCAGATCAACATTGCAGAGGTAATTCAGTTGTAATAATTTTTGTTGTTAGTTCTAATCCATCATCCCGTAACCCTTGTTGGGTTGATTTTCTCAGTTTTCAGTCTCTGTCCTCTGCTGCTGTGAGTAGATCTGCAACAGGCAGTCTAGTGCAATCTTTGATGTCCTCCATCCAATAACGTTTTCCTCTTCTCCTCCCTCTTGGTGCTGTTTTGGATAAGCTGTTGCTTTGAGTGACATGAATATACAATCTCAATTTTCTTCTTTTTAACTATGATTAGTAGACCAATCACATTAGTATCACAGACTTCTTCATTAGATATGAGATCCATAGAAATTTGCTTAGACAAAATTTCTAGGGCCTTGATTCTTTTCGAGAGGTCTGCGTTGAGCGTTTATGCCCCGCAATCTTACCAGAAAACCAGTAACTGCAGCAGTTATTTTTCGCTAAGTAATTTAAGATTACTTTTCCAGTTGTGCCACATCCTGTTTTTCAGCTTATGACTTTAGTTTGTTTAGTAATTTTTAAATAGGAATTGGTGTGGATGACTTAAAAAACTGATGGTACAGTAGTTTTATTTTTACAGAATTGTAAGTTGCCTTTCTTGGATAGCAATAAGAGATTGGGTCCACATCTTGGGCCATTCCCCCCTGAATGCTAGATTTTGTTGCAGATATTGTTTCTCCTCCTACCACTAACTCAGCTGGTAGCACTGGTACTTTGTCCACTCCTGCTGCTATCAAGTGATTTTAAGGCTGTCTCTACCTCTGTATGGAGGCTGGGGTTATTTGTGGCATTAGGGACATATATATCTTGTCTCCTAAGGTTTCATGCAGTGTGTCCACCTTACATCTTTTTTTCTTCTTTTCCTTATTTTACTTAGCATACATTTTTACATCTCCCTGCATAACACTTCTTTGACTCTTGTCATGTTTTTTCTAATAGCCTGATAGACTACTATAATTTGTTGGTGCAGTTTCTTTCTCAGCTTGCTGTTAAAATTAGATTATGATAACCTGTTTGTTTACATTTAAGTACAATTCAAATACTATATTTAGGTTGATGAGACTACAGGCCGTATGACTGGATCTTATAAGACCTATGCTATCTGTGGGGCAATCAGACGAATGGTAAGCTTGTATATTATTACATTGAACACTTTTGTTTTAAATTATAAATGAGGCTAACCAGCCTTAGTTATCTTCTCATTACCTTTAAAAGGGTTTACCAGCCGATGTTTATATACAAGTATTAATTATATTCACAGGGTGAATCTGATGATTCATTGATTAGACTGGCTAAACGAGATGGCATCATAACTAAGTAAGTTTAATGCAATTTTTATAATAATAATAGTTTTAATATATAAAGTTTAGTCCTATACATACAGGTTACATTGTATTAAAATTTTAATCTCCTGTCCTTTTTTTCCTCAGGAATTTTTAAAGGTACTCTTGTTCAATAAAATTCATGTAAAACTAAGTGGTTTGTTTATTTTTTTTATGAATTCTGTGTTGAGCACTTGTCATTTGTGTGGGGTGAATGTGGTTGGTTTGTAAAGCTCATGGTTACTAAAACTAGTAGAACCTACTGGCAGATGAGACAGCAACCAATTTAGAAGTAGAAAACTACAACTACAATAACTGCGGCCTTGGGTGATAAAAGGTTATTAATAGCAAATCAAGAATGAAAAGCTGAAATTAAGTCAATGGCGTGGATAGTTGTGTAGGAGGAAATAAGAATTTCTTCGAGGCATCTCTTAGGTGGGGAGCTTCCCCCCTGAAGAAAGTACCACCCCCCTGGAGAAAAAGGTCTGGAGGAAATCCCAACATAATAATTAAGAACAAGCTATTACTTCTGTTAGTCTGAGATCAGTTATATTAAAAAGTATTTAAGTAGGTACAACAACAAAGTAAATAATACTATGCGTTTGCTTTCCACTGCTTAGGATGGAGGAAACAATTTGACCTCACTCATTGTTATAGTTATATGCAGAATACTTAAATCTCGTAGAATTCTTAAATTATAAATGTAATCTATAAAAGTAAGTAGAATAAATTTTTAGCTTGAAATTTCTCCCAAGACTAAAACAAGTAAAACACTAAATAATTCTGCTACTTACTATATTTCTTGCCATAGTTGTTGGAACACTTTTCAATTTGAAAGCAACATTTTCACTCAATAAAACATTGCACAAAGAGTAAAATGAGGATTCTACCTTATAATAGGTATTCTAAATGAAATTTTCATAATGAAATTAAATAAAATTTAACACTTCCACCTGATAGGGATTGCTTTCATCAGAACAGAAACACCAAATTTATTGATGTATGTCCATTTTTAAAAAAGTTATGAATTTTTTAAAACTCGAAAAATGTGTTCGCTTTTCGAGCAGTAAAGGGTCTATTTGAGACCCCTACTAACTTCTAAAATAACTAAGTTAGAACTCACAAATTTCTTGCACACACAGCCAGTAATACAAATAGCAAACCCAATTTTTTTCAAGGTTGTCAGACAGATATAAATGGAAAATTTATTCACTTAAAAATGAGCCAAAGCACAATTTTACAAAAGTACGAAAAGGGAGACAAAAAGTCAATTTACAGTCATTTTTAAAAAATCATATAAAATAAACTAATTAAGCCACATTGATAATATTAATGTTCTAAGAAAGGAAATTCAAAGCATGTTAATATGAAATAAGCAGGTAAAGAATTAATAAAGAAAGTAATTAGCGAGACCAGATTCTGCAAGGTCAGTTTATAAAAAATAGAAATTTCACCCTTTTTCAAAAAATGATTAAAAAATATCAAAGTAAGGTATCTTAATAAATTTTACACCATCTTAAAGCACATGATGTTCTTAATATATAATAAACACAGAAACATAAAATAATCATTCTGCAAAACAATATAAAGCATCCTTCCTTAATGCCTAAAATCAAGAATTTTCATTACCTAACATCTTGCAAAAAGTGTCCTTACTTTTAAGAAAGTAATATAAATTGTGTAGGAAACATGTTAGCATTACTTTGTTATAAAAAATTAAATACCTATACTATTACTTTACTTATATACTTACTAAGAAGAAATTTCATGCCTTTTAAACACTGATGAAGTAAGATAACTAATTAAACTAAAATTCTTTATAAATGATCCTAACTGTTAGCTTTGTGATGTTCATCTAGTTTTGTTACTCTGCTCCCTAATCATGACATGCTTAGCCTAAATTTACTTGTTATCAGTAAATTTATTTCTTCTAGTTAGTTATTAATCAATGTCAACTTCTGGAAATGTCTAGGTCCTAACTTATACAATTATCAGAAATCTTAGAGCAGGTTCAAAAAGACAGGTCAATATCCTGATTGGGAAAGTTCTCTATGAGGTTGGGTAGCATTGTAATTAATAGTCAATATCTTGGTTGAGTTAGTCTTCTTCTTCAAGGTTTGGAGTAGCATTGTAATAAATTATTGTGAACTGGCAGCACACATCAAATTATGGAAACTAGTAAGGGATCTTTCCATTGGTCCAGAGTATAGAAAATGTCTGTGAATAAAAACAATTAATTAGCATTTCCAATATACTGACTTATATAGTAGGTCTGTATATCTTTATACCTACTTAGATATCAATCATGTAACATTACATCATTATAACTAATAAGCAAAGTGAAGAAAATACTAACATCTGACATATGGTTTCCTTCAAAAGTATTCAGTAGTCCTGTTGGTGCTTACACATTTTTGCCAGGCCTTTCAGTTTCCCCTTTCTTTTGCTAATATCTTGCTCTGTAAATAGAATAATATTAAAAGTAAGGCTGCTCAATGCTTTTTTAGATATTAAATGTAAACACTTTAGATAGTTCTACTACTAAATAAATATTAACATGAAAGCAATAGTGAATCTAACTAATCTAAGTAGATCTAGAAACAATTTTGGGTTAAACTATTATGGAAGGGGGGTACATTTTATTTTAATGTCGTCAGTTCAATAAACCTAGAGATAAGAAACATTAACGATCGTAGTATTCTAAAATTTAATGTAATTACTGCAATTATATAGAATAGTTAACTATTAAACTAGGAAAAACAAAATAAACAATGCTACAATAAATTGAAAGTATGCTGTTAACCCTGCGTAATATAATAGTTGAATCCAACATTACGAGAAGGCAAAAAAAAAAAATGGCCGACAAGCGGCTTAAAATATCGACAATATGTTGATAGTTTAATCGGTCGATGTTAGTAATTAATAAAATTCACGAATACAAATTAAATTCTATCACTCTTTTAAACATCTTTTTGATTTAATTGTGCATTCCTTTTTTATTTTGGTAATCGTAAATTAAATACAAAGAACTTTTAAAAAGGTCTAGATAATTTTTTGGTAAATGTTTTTTTAAGCGTGTAGCAATTACCGATAAGTGGACACTAAAATGCAAATAGTTTAAAGCAGCAGTTTATTATAAATAAAATGAATATAGCTAATAATTTATAAAGCACTTAACTTACCTAGACCTTGTTTAAAATCCATGGTAATCCGCGAATAAACACAAAATCCTGCTTTGAACTTGAGCCGGGTGTTCCGTGACATTACGCAAAACTAGATTTAAGCCGGCAAAAGTTAGCGCGGGTCTTCACGATACGTATGCGTTCGTTTTTATTTCTGCGATCCGATACCATACATTAAGTGTTAATTAAATTATAACATTTTTATAGTAAATTGGACGCCCGATCTGAATATATAATTTTGCCGGCTGTAAAATACTTTTTTCGTGTTAAAAAATCATTTGAAACTTTTAAATCTATTATTTTTAGCATTAAATTATATTTTACAGCGGGCAAAGTCATATCATCTTAAAGGGCGTCCATTCTACTTTCTATATTAGTTTTTAGTGTAAGCGTATGTATTATGGTATCGGATCTCCGAGCGTTGGCGCAACCCGACCAAATTTTTTTGCGCGCAGTACGTTTTTTTCGGCTCATTTAGAATACCTACTTATAACCATGTTTTTTCTTTTAAAGATAGGCGTATAGTGTAATGGCTAATCAGGTCCAGGGCACTGACGTTTTAGTGTAAATAGTAATAATAGATTAGATTAAAAGTTATTTCAAGTTTTTTACATTGATGTTAGTGTTGTCTTGTGACCTTCAGCCGAAACAGGTAGCATATGAAAATTTGCCAAATAAAAAACTTGGCTTTTTCATATTTCTGCGTATTCAGAAACTTATTATAGTCACCAGTGGGTAATTGCTAGTGCAAACTACATTTAGATTATGGTACCAACAATCCAATGCTAGATTTTTATACCAAGTAGGCCTACTGGTATTAATATTTAAACATTAAAATTCAATGTAATTTATCGTTAATTCAATTCAACTGTTGATATAATTAATGGCTTATTATACTTTAAGACTGACTTTACAGTTGTGAATAACAAAAGAGTAGAATAACATACAATTATCAAAGTAATGTTTAGGGCCTATGTTTATTTTCTTTGAATTCTCTTGCAGTAATTTAAACTTTGTTCCATACTTTTAGAATAATTTTCATTTAAAAAAAATTCTAATCTAAGCCATTATTCTGAGATTTGATAAATCAGTTTTTAAGTACAGAATGGTTGATATGTAATATATTCATAATGCGGATGAAATGGGTTATCGAACAATTGTCATATTTTGTACTTTATTATAGTACCCACCTAAAATGCTTAAGGTAATATTTTCATAATTACAGCCCTTTCAGAATATTCATAACTTTCTATAAATAATTACTTTTTTCAAAAGGTGTCCAACATCTTGCTACTACACCACTAGGGGCATTGTTATTATACAGCACAGAATGCAGGGTGTTTTTTTCTCATTCCCATGTGCAAATTATGTATGATTTTTCTAAACAACCTTTTTCACAGACTGCAATACAAAGCATAATTAAAAATGTGTAGGGAGATGCAAAAATGTGTGCCATTTTAAAATGCTCAATCACTTTTAAAATTAAAAACCTGGGTCAGGTTTGCTACAACTACAATTTGAATTTTATGATTAGTGAGTAAGTAAGCATTTAAAAAGCCATTCATAAATATATATATACACACACACACCATTTGTGAATATTGACTCTGCAAGGAAATTCAAAGAAACTTGGACAAGATAGATTTTTAAAAGTTTAATAAAATACCTTCAAACTCCAGAAACAACTGGAGTAAGTAATCACAATCGAGTAGGTAGCCTACCATTACTTAAATTACAGTTGCACGATGTCAGAAGACCATTGGATGGCTTTGCCTACTTTATTACTGCCCATGTTCTTTGATAATTCATTGAAGTAATTAGAGTTTAAATATAAAAGAACTTTGGCTGGCATACATAATTTACACTTACAGCAAGGTTAATTTTTGTGCTCCCATGTTTAACAAAACACAGTACATAATTTTTTACTTTACTTTATATTAAGACAATTTTAAAATCAATGAGAAAATAAATGGTGTCCTTGTAGCATGAGACATTTCAAAGCTAAATATACAAGATGTTCATATTATTGAAAATCCAGTATACTATTATTAATCACCAAGATAAATAAATACATCCATTTAATGAGAAATAAAAATTAAAGGTAGCTTTTCAGAGAAAAAGTTTAGTTTTTAAAATTAACTGACAGTAGTAAATAAGAAACTAAAGTAAACTTAATGGTATAATAGTTTCTTTCCTTAGACCGTTTTTAAAATAAAGCTTACCAAACCATAAAATAAAAAGAAAAATGTGTGTATTCTTACTTTGTGTCATACAGACATACACAACATAATTTGCTGTTAAAAAGTCTTTCAATATTTAGTATCTACAATTACAAAACTCTGGAACTCAGGTCTTTTAGTTTTAGTGCTGTTTGGATTTGTGAAAATATTCTTTGCTGTTGGGGAATCTCTCTGAACTGAAATCCCTGTCTGAAGCAATTCTAGCACCCAGAATAGCAGTCACCTCTTGTTCAAGGTCTGCTTGGAGTTCTATATTATCTGAAGCCTCCTGTATGAGATTTTCCTCACTGCTGATGGGTTCAACACCTGCAGCTCTTGCAGCACGAGTTAAGGATGCTGGTAGGTACTGAGGCATGTTTCCCATTTCCCCTGAGTGTTCAAGTGTCATCATCTTTAAAATAAAAGTTAGATTCATATGGCCTGCAGTTAATAAGTTGCAAGGGAATTTATAACTTACATGTAGAGCCATACAGGGTGGATATGGTGTGGTGATGTGTGTACTTACACGTCTGCGTTTTGCAGGGAGACCTTGCAGATAGGCATCACTAAGTGGTGACTGTGTTCTCTGCTCTTGCTGCCTGACAATATCTTGACTAATTACAGGAATCCAATCCTACAGAAATTATGCAAGAAGTGGAAGTTTATTTTATTCTGGATACAGTTAATCTGGACAAAAGTTGTAATGATGTATGAAAGGTGCCAACGAACCTGAGGTATCACAGACTGCCAGTCATCAGAAACCCTACTGCTCCTCAGCCTTGTGTTAGACACACTAGTTCGACTGCTTGATGTGATGGTGCTTGGTCTAGTTGTCTGATTGACTAGTGTTTCCTGGGCATCAACAAAAATATCATTTGCATCATTTTCAGATTCTGGAGCAGTCCTTGGTACCTATTAAATTATAATATAAATAATTCACAAATTAAGCATATATATATTCCAAGATTAAGACATAATAACTTGTGCTACTAAATTCTGCACAATTTTATTTACATATTAGAAACTACATTTTTGATTATCAAAAATCCAGTGCTAGATTGAAAACAGGTATATTTAACCATTTACCGGCTTGGGCATCAAAACTATATTACTTCCCCTAAAGCCGGGCAAAAAGACAACACATTTTTTAACCACAGCACTTTAAAAAAAAATAATAACCACTTACGTTAAAAAATTAAAATAAAAAGCCATATACGCAAAACTAAAGGGTTAATAAATAATATTTAATGTAAGTAAACTGTATGTGTGAATGCAATTAAATGTCTTAGGTTTAGAGAATATTCAACAAACCTTAGCCCTAGGTGGCTGGGATGAAGGGGATTCTCCTAAATCCATAGGGGCTGGAGGTGACTTTTGTAAATCTGCATTTTGTTTGGTGCCGGCTTTATTCGAACTTGGAGTCTGACTGCCTGCAGGTGCGGCTGCACTGACTGTTCTTTCCACTGTATTAGAGGCTTCATCACTTCTATTTTTTGTTACAGAAAATATTGTACGTTATTTTAGAATTATGATTAGGATTGTTGCTCACACAAATACCATTTTTAATTCCAAACTACTAAAAATTAGATTTACAAAATGAAACCAAGTTCAGACCTAACAATATAACGCATGATATCAGACTCTGGCACTGGGTGATTCTGATGAAAGGTACCAAGGATCTCTTGCAATGATCCAGTCATCCACATTGTTATTGTTGGATCCATTCCCTGTGTCATCCTTGGCTAAAGAATAAAAACAAATACTTTGTGTTTACTTACTGAAATGGAGAATTGATGGGCATTAAAATTTTCTCTCCAGTAAAAAAAAAAAACAACGATTCGGGCACAATTCAAACTAATCCATTCTATTTAGCCTACTTACCATATAACGTGTCAGCATATTTGAAAACCCTGATTGTCCATTACGAATACAGTAAATACAAAGTCCTATAGTCTCAGCCATCATTTTCATCCAAAGAGAATACAGCTGCCTGCCAAATTCATCTGCAGGAATATCTATTGAAGTAGGATATTCATAAATTAGGATACACATATTTAAATCCTCAATTAGTTATAAAAGCACAATAAAGTATGTGTGTTCTCTTGAGACCCTTGCTAGAGTGTTAGCACGAGAAGGAAAGAAGAACAATTCCTGTTGGGTACTGCTTAAAGGCTGAAATTTTTTCTTTAAAAAATTTGTCATCTGATAATACCCTTTACTTTAATCAAATCAAACAAACTAAAAGATAAATAAAGCCTAACTGATAATAATTGCAAATCTGCAGCATTTTGTTAAAAATTTAAAACCAAAGCTATTTTTTGATGATCTCAACAGTGCTAATATTACCTGAATTGATTGTGTTAAAGATGGTAGTTAGATGGTTTGACAGGCAATTGCGTACTGATGCAGCCATATTAACTCCACTGCGTACTTCCACAAGACTCTAAAGATAAATTCTCAGCATTAACTTAAAGTAATTTTTGTTTTATTTTCTCAATGAAGCTTGTTAAGAAAATTATAAACTTCATTAAGTTAACTTAATACAGGGTTATATATGTCTAAATAAAAGAATGTTTACATAAAATAGTTATTATCACCTGGAAGAAAATTTCCATCACTAACAATACTAACATAAAAAAGCAGTACCTGCAAAAACTGGATCTCTGTGTTCATATCACCTAATGTTACTTCCACTACTCTGTCAATAGAGGTGTACTGTGTCACCCTGCTTCTAACAAACTCGCGTAGGGGCCTCTGAAGTTGTGATAACACCTGTGTGTTTCCAGTGACTAGGGAGAACAGATCAGGGAGTCCCATGTGTGGAGCAATAGCCTCCACTAGCCCCATGATCACATTGGTTTCTGCACCATCTGTTCAATGAATGAAGCAATGACTTGTTATTACATTTTGAATTAGTAATCAATTTTTTTATTTACTCAACAGATTATATTTCTTTTACAAATGTATATTTATAAATATGTTTTTGTTGACTTACCACTTTCACTATCACCAGTTCTAAACTGAGTGAAGAAATGTGCCAATGTATTTCTTGCAGCAGGGTTGCTTTCATTAGAAGGAGGGGCAGACTATAAAAAAAATAAAAATTAATGAGCTCATTTTTATGGTTGTATATTATAGTCATATTTATTCAGCTCATAGGAACCAAATATCTAAATACAATTCTGTCGTAAAGATGGCTGGGTACAGTGTTGACCAATCAATCATTTGATTTGCCCCGTCCAATGAAAATAGGCTTGCTTTGCTTTTACTTTTCTTACTGCTAATTTAGTTCAACTATGATGGTTTTTGCTAAGTACAATTACAATTACCAAATTTAACACAAAACGTGATAGAACAATACAAAACTTCCAGCACAAAATTAAGCATATATGCTGTATATTACTAATTTTAAATGGAAACTACAAATCCTTACTCTGGGTTGTAGCAGGTTCCCTAACATGGCTCCTATATCAAAGGTACCCTGGCCACCAAGTACCCCACTAGACATGAAGTTGGAAAACATCTCCATGGGATTAATTAACACAGGACGTGGGCCACTGTCCCTGCTGCTACTTGTGTTAGATGTGGAGGTTGTAGTTGTTGATGATGTGCCAGTTGCTGTAGTGCTAGTTCTGCTACCACCATTGAGTGCTGCTATAAAAATAAAAGCACATTACAAGACTAGAAATCAACAGCGCAAAATTAGTTAAGGCTTTGCCTTTACTTGTCATAATATATAAAATAATGGAAAATTACAACTTTTAAAAAAATAAATATATAAATCTAGTTCTATAGATGAATTATATCGTACCTTGTCCAACTTGTTCTATGATATCACCAACCATTCCTGAAACCATAGTACTTAGGTTGGGGACCTGTTGCAGAAAAAGCAGTTCATTAATTTTGGCATGAAAACAGCTTTCATAACCTAAGTATTGTACAACAATATCTGTCATACTTTCATTGAGAAAAAAAGAGTAATAACTGTCACTTTTAAATAATGAAACTTTACTAAATGTGTTTTGTTAAAAAATAAAAACTTCTGAAAGAATTTTTTTTTATTTAGGCTAGGGTCAATTAAACTAAAGGTCTTTACATCAATTAAAAAAAAGTAACCAAAATCTTAACCGCTAATTTGATTAAACTGTAAAATAAAAAATCCTAGACTCACTTGTTGCGCCTGCTGTTGTCCACGAGCATGTATTTGATTTTGTATTGTTCTGAATGCCGCTCTTGCAGACTCTGAATTGTAATGGCTGGAAGAGCATGGAAGGTAAGGATCAACATAGCCACGATTTAGGAGATTTCCAGTGCCACTTGGTCGAAGACCCCCAGGCATAGACCTTCCATGAGGTGGTAATGGGCCTTGACCACGGGGTCCTCCAGGTGGTGGTCTGTGAATGTGAAAATGTGTGCGGGCAGAGCGACTGTTGGCGGCTGGGGTTGGATCCGTTCTTGTTCCTATGTTGTTTCTGAGAAGACAATGTATCATAATTTTAATAAAGGTCATTTATACCTGAGGTAATTACATATTTCTAAAAACAAAATTTGTTAAACTCGATTGTAAACAAACAGTAGAAAGTTTATCATTAATAATAAGGCTAAGAATATCTAGAAATCTATAAAAACAAATTTTCACTATTGCCACACAATCATTGGGTATTGAAACATTATGACCTACCGCAAATTGCCAAACTCTCTTCCCCCACTCACAGTGACAGGTGAAGCATTAGAACTGTGGTTCCCTGTAAGAGGGCTGTAGTCACTGGTACTTGGAGTATTGGTGTCAGATGTGTTTGTTGCAATATCATTGTGTGTTACTGTGCTAGCAGCACTAACTGTGGGGGTTACTTGATGGGATGCATCCACACGCGTTTGTGTTGTCATACCTATAAAAGAGGAATTTGTAACAAAAAAATTATTGATCATAATTTTTTTTAATACCCCATTTAAATTGGTTTGGTCAAAATATAAAAGCTGATAGGTAGCAACCAATTTCAGACTGATCGTAAAGTAGAACAGCATGGTGTGGACAATACCTTCAACGTGATGGTGATTCTCTCTGCTTGGTCCACCTCTGTCTTCATCTACTGGCAAATCCTCAGGATTTGGTTGTGGGCGTGCTTGACGATGTAACCTTGGACCAACTACTGGTGAAGCTGTCGTTTGTTGCACATTCACTTGCACTGGCTGGCCAGGTCTCACCCCTGGTTAAAAATGGTCAGAAAATGTAAAGACTCCATTACAAACTAAATGTGCATATTTTAAACTCAAAAACAGAAAATAGAAATGGGCAACATACCATGTGAATTCAAAATGGATCCCAAAATATTTTGCAGCATTCCTGGTGGCAGGCCTGGCAAATTAGGCAGCTGGCCTATGCCAATATTTGCAGGCATACCAGCCATGTTAACTCCTGTGGTTGGGCTAAAGGTGAAAGTTGAAGTGGATGTGGTGGAGGTTGAAGTGAACTGAGGATTGTCAGTAGTTCGTGGAGTAGATGGTGGCGGCGGCGGTGCAGCTGATGAAGGGGTTGAAGCGGCAGATGAAGAGTTTGTTGATGCAGTGACAACGACAGGATCAATTGTAGTTGCAGAAACCACAGTAATATTTCCTGATCCATTATTGGGGTCATCTGGGGAAATATGTCACTTTAAGTCTATTTCAAATTTTTAAACTCTGTTTTCCAAAACATCCTTGAACATAAAGAAATAAAATGAGCTGATTTATTTGATATAATCAAGGTAGTTAACACTCAAAGTCTTCTCAAGCTGGAGTTTTTGGATAAAAAGGCAATAAACGATGTAAAAGATTTAGTTGACAATAAATCTTCAAAAATAGAAGGCTGACATGAAAGTAAACAGACCCTAATAGAAGGGAAATAAAACTGGCACCATTCATTTTTAACTCAAATAAAATACTAGTCTGACAGTAGATGATGGTAAAATTTTGAATACTCACTGTGAGCATCATCATCATCTGGTACTTCCTGAGTGACAACAGCCCTAATGTCATGAACTGTCACACCTGTTGGAAATACCTCTACCATCACAGTTGGATCACCTGTTGAAGCTAAGTGAGGTGGCAAAGGTATAGACACCTGGGGAATCTAAAAAAAAACACCCCACAAATAATGAAATTTTATGTTTGCTTAAATACAGTATTAATAAAAAAGAATAAAAAGGCCAGCTTTAAAATGTTAATTATCACTGACTACATTAAAAAAATAAAAACAAGCAACAAGCAAAATTCTTCATTGGTTATTTACAGCTAATGATATTTATCTCGCTAATAGTACCTGAAAAGACCCAAGACCCATACTAGGTCCAGCAGAATTAACTGTGGTTGTGCCACCGCTAAAGCTTTGTGTAGGAGCCCCTGAACTGGATGTGGAACTTGTGGCAGCTGCTGCTGTTGTTGTCTGGTCCGACTGACTTGGTCTCTGTCTACTGCCATTGCCATTTTGCCTAGCTCGCACATTCATCTGAATTAAGAAGCATGGTACAAAAAATGCTTAGCTGTATATTTCATTTATCTACAATAACAAAAATTTTAAAAAGTTACAAAATACTTATTCACTGTTTCAAGATGACAATGAAATAAAGTTCTTAACATTTTTAACAACGGTTTACACATTTTAACCAAATCAATAAAGCAATCTGAACAAGTATGTTTAATAACTTGTATTCTTACGTGAATTGGAATTGCCATGCTCGTTGTACCAGGGATAGGAAAAGGAGATGAAGGAAGTGCTGTTGCTTGTCTGGGAAGACCTGAGCTCATGTCCACGGTGACATCACTCAGGCTATGCAGCATGTGACTCATGGCATGCAGGGCTTCTGTCACTCTGTTCACAACTTCCTGAGCATTTTGTGACTCCTTTAAAACACAAAAAAAAAAAAAAGGGTTGAAGTGATTTATTTGAGTGTTGCCTTAACATCCCATGAACAAATAATAGTAAAGAAACATACTGTGGACTCTGAGAAGCTCTCTTCATTTCTTAAGTAATCCCTGTATCTGATTATGTGTGGTGTCATTCTCCTGTTGGTACTTAATACTCTATCCAAAAAATCTGCAAGTTCAGTTGCAAGCAAGTTCCTGAAATAAATATTTAATATAGGCCTATATGATGTAATGCAAAGCAAAAAAAATAAATAAATAAAATATAAAATGAATATAAATTCAAATCCATGTTCATCTTGTTTAACTGTTGATTCTTATTGATTAATAAAAACAATATTAAGCTTTAACTATATGAAACTATATTTAGGAAAAATCAGCATTTATGAATGTTTAGTGTTGACTAACCCTTCGCCTGTGACAGATCCAGAACTTTCTGCAGCTCTAAGATTCTGAGTGCTGCTGCCTTCAGGATCAGGTCTCTCAGCATCAGTTTCCATACTCTCTTCTGGTTGGTTGTCATTTTTTGCTGGCTGGCTACTAGAAGAGGATCCAGCTTGGGAAGCATCCTCCTGCCCTTGGCAATTATTCTGCGCACGCTGTTTTAGAAAGGAATTGTAGGTTTTAAAAAAATTTGAAAATTTGTGTAAACAAAATATGTGTGCAACTCATTTGTACATAATTTTTAAAACTAGCTAATTTCAAACAATTAACTTACACTTAACTTAAAATCCATTACAAAGTAGAATAAACCTACCTCCAGAGCTGTCAGTGCACTATTTATAAGACCAAGGTTAAAGTCAGCTTGTCTAATCCGTGCTCTTGCCTCTCTTGAATTAGGTACATTCTGACTTAATCGGCCAAGGTGAATTTGAACATCAAACAAATTACCATCCTAGGGAACAAACAATTTCTTCTGGTTTTTTTAATTTTTTCCAAAAATCACCATACACAAATAGAAGATATTTATTAAAATTTATTATCCCAATTTAATGACATTTAATAAACCAAAAGCTTTGAACATCACTAAGCCTTTTAATATATTTAAGAAGAAAAAAACCAAAGACATACAATATGTGTATGTGGCCTCCCTGGTCCAGTTGAAGAAGGTTCAGTAGTTGATGTACTTGTAGATGGCAAACTTGAAGGTGGTGGCCTTTGGACCAAATGTATAACTTTTCCATGAATATCTGAAGTAAAAATATTTTCTGAATAGCATAATTATATTCAGTTACTTTGTTAAACATGGAAAAAACAAACAAACCAGTAATAGAAATAAGGGTAAATGCTCTCAATAAACCAACAATATACTAAAATTAGCAATTCATCTTACCATAATCCTTTAAAACTTTTTCATCCTGCATTACCCGCCCTTGAAAAATTAACCTCTGTGTGTCTGCCGGGATTTCCTAACAATATAAAAGTTGTTATACCTAACTACAACAAATGGCTTAAAAACTTAAAACTTCGGAAACAAATCAATGCAACTTGAAGCTATATTCTTTTGACACAAATAATTGTTAATGGAATTTATTAAAGCACTTTACTTACAATTGATCCACTAATCTTTTCCTTAAATTGGCGTACATTTATCTGTAACAATAAATAAGGCATAATAACTATTTCTGTCTTAGATTAATAAGAAACAAAACATGAAATAGACCTTAAAGAGAAAAAAAAATGGTGTAATCTATTTAAGTGAAAACTAGCAGAGTAAAAAGCTGTTCATACATTTTCTGGTACTGTGAAGGTGCGATTTTGACCATCCAATGTCTTGACAGTTATGTCTATCATAGCACCTGATGAAGTTGACTCAGACGCCATGCTGTCATACAATTTTTGGCACGCTTTCTGAGCTAGAAATACAGACATAAAATATATGAAAATTTCCAAACATGTTAAACTATAAATACCTCTTCATTTATTTAGCACCTAAAGATTACTTTACAACTCAACCTGATGTTATTAAACTTAGAGAACACTTGACTTAAAACATCTGTTGAATTTTAATCAATAAATCAATTATAATTAGATAAAGTTAAAATTTTAATCTTTTAAAAATTGGGCTGGTTATAAAAATTTGAAAAGTTAGAAACCTCTAACATGTAGTCCTTGATAATAATTGAATTAGATCCTTATTTTTCTTCCCACCCAACCCCATGTTTTTCAAAGTTAGTTTTCAATAGTTTCAAATTTCAAACATGTTTTGAGTGAAAAGAATGTGGAAAAGAATGGAGTAGCTGGCATTTAATCAACACAGGTACATGTAACCTTGCCAGTTGGTGATAAATTGCAATATCATATTATTGCGCATATTATGGTATTGTTTTGAATTGTTTTAATCGGCCAGTGTTAAGGCCAGGATTAGAAATTTTAAAAAGAGTTGGTAGGACTACAGGAAAAGAAAACTGTTGATAAACCAGAGTTATGGTCTTATAAAGCAGCTTGATTTCTAGAGTTGTAGATTAGCACTTGAAAAATATATGAAAATTTCCAAACATGTTAAACTATAAATAACTCTTCAACTGCCAAGTTGATGGGATGGGTACTATCAATATAGTTAATATGGTAAAAAAACATGATTTTTAAAAAAGATTTGCTATCAAAGCAGCCATAAATAAAACAAAAAACCTGATAAAAAATCATTTTTTTTATAATCAATGTTTTAAAAGTTGCAAAATAATATTTTGAGTTTAAGGCAACATTTCTATTTATTTTCATCAACCCTTAATTATAACCTGAAGTTTCACTGTAGTAAGAAAATACTTACTAAAAATATCAAATAGATCTAGATTCTTCATCTAATCATTAAGTGACAAACTTATATCTGACAAAAATCTCACAATGTTTGATACATTTTTATACCAGTGTCCTATAATAGAATCTTCATTAAAGAAGGGTGTTAGGTTACTGGTAATTAACTAAATACACATGATAAGCCAATGTCAATGCTAACCCTAACCTCAACTCTTGAGTCCTTATACGCTTAACCCTATTTTCTAACCATAAAAACTAGTCAAATTACAATACTAGCATAACACCTATTTTTGGAAGCATATTATGGGACATAGGTATACTCAATCATACAAAAGTTTTTATGACACCATTTTTTACTTTATTTTATTAGGGCCCTAACGTTTAAATATTTATAAACCATTCGGTACTAATACTATTGGATGATTTTAGATACCTATGTCCTATAATAGACTCTTCCATAAAATAGGTGTTTTAGGTTGTTAGTAGTATTGTAATCTCGACTAATTTTATGTTTGAAGTTAGGGTTAGGCATTATGTAGGACCAGGGTTGTGGTTAGGGACAGGGTTAGCATTGACGTGAGCCAGCCATGTGTGTATTTAGTTAACTACCAGTAAACTAACACCTCTTTTAAAGAAGATTCCATTATCGGACACCTGTATAAAAATTCCCCCATACAATTCACTGCTACATCCATGTCTTTTTTAAAGTAGTGTAGCCTACTTTTTTACAATTAGATCTATATTTTTGGAGTTTTACTATACTCAGCACAGGTACTGTGAAGCATGCACATTTGACTTTAGAATTTAGACAGCTTTAATTTTAAAAAATTTCGACGTGACTACTCGGAAAAAGATTTTTCTCCCCACCGTCTCCACTTAGTTGCAAAAGATAGTTCTGCGCATGCGCAGTGACCTATGGCTAGGGTTAGGATTGGGGATAGGATTAGGATCCGATTAGGGATAGGGTTCTGCGGTTGTAAACGCACGCATGCGCAGTACCATCGAAAACATTGCCACGATGGCAAGTCGTAGCTTCTCTCCATTGCGTATGCATATCTTTTTCCGGCTAGCATCGGCCAAAAAATTTAGTAGGCCTATTCAAAACAATTGTTCGGCCAAATAAAAATATTTAAAAATAATAATAAAATATGACAATTTGATAACTTTGGCTAAAGAACATGTTTCTTGACCTAAACTAGTCATTAGATTCAAGTAAAATTTAGTAAAATGAATCAAGTTCACTCGTGACTAGGTCTAGATCTAGACTTAGATGTAGACATGACATCTACTCACAACAACACTCACACAAAAAAATTAGAATCACCACACACAATCAACTTCAAGTGACAAGTAACGAGGAAAGGTTAAGAAATTAAATAATTAAAATATAACTCAATTGTAACAGAGTGGTTTGATGATTGTATTTCCCAATGTCCAATAGATTTACCTGTGACAAAATAATTTACTTAAACAGTTTTTAAAATGACTCAAATAAGTCGACGATTTTCCCGTTACGGTTGTATTGTTAGCTACCGTGGAACAGATGACCTAGATCGGGAAATTTTGTTGTGAGTTAACTTCCTGTATAATACCGGATACAAATGGTTGTGTTTCACTAAGTATAATTAATTCCGCAGCAATTTCTAAAAGTGACAATTAGATTTATTTATTCAAGTTTTGAACCTAAAATTAATTTAATACTGCTAAAATGTATTATGTCTATTACAGAAATTGATATAGTAGGCCAGTGGTTCTTAAAGGGGTTCGGGGAGTCAGTCTCAGGGGTTCGGCGCAGAGGCGTAGCTAGGGGAGGGCGGGGAGGGCGGCCGCCCCGGGCGCCGACCCTAGGGGGGCGCCAAAAGGGGTAGAAAAAAAAATTAAAAGCTAATTTTAAGCTGCAGTTTTGAATTATAAACAGTCAAAGTAAAGAAATTTAACGGCTGAGAGACTTTGCATACTGATTTAACTGTTTTCTACCTTGATTGTGTAACTGTAAAACGTATATCTTTAAGAAACAGTGACCGGAAAAACCGCTTTCCAGCTTTCCTAGATGGGGAGGGGGTGGGGCGCTTTTTCGAAGACTAAAATCGGAAAAATTTACAACGGATTAAGGAATAAATAACCGATATCACTCAGAAAAGAAACCCATTGAACTAAAGCGTATTTTACGATTATATAACATAAAAAAGAGTTAGTGACGTTTAAAATCCGCTCTACCATTTTTGTCCAAGATCGTGGGGCGCTTTTTCACTAACAAAAATCGCAGGATTTGTACTAGATCGGTTGCTAACACTTAATGTACGATTTCACTACCCAGTTTTGCTAAGTAATAACGCGACTAGTTCTTTGAACATTTATTACGATTCTCTCAACTTGATCGAGATAGATCAGATACTTTTACTTGATTGCATAACATCTTGCCTGGATCACTGCATTATTAAAAAAAAATATAACGGATTCTTGTATCGCTATCCGATCAGTAAAATAGCAGACTGTCGGAGCGGGGGGATGGGAAGCGACACTCTTTGCCAAAATTTTAAGAGAGAAGAAAATGAGTAAATTGTACTGATTATTACTTTGTTCAACCTAACTGATAATTCAAAATTGCAATATTGGCCTACTATTATCGAAATTGTTCTAAAGACACGACCAAAAGTAGACCAAATAAGGCTTGCACCTTCTACAAAATACACTCTAAAGCAGTGGTTCTTAACTTTTTGGAGTACCAAACCCCACCAGTTTCTTATGCGCAATCACCGAACCCTCCTTAATAGTTGTATCGTCCACACTGACAAAATCCGATCGTGAATCCTATGAGTCGGCTGTGTGTCTTGACCTCCGCGGAAGCCCTGAGACTGAATTACCGAACATCTGTTGTAAGCTCTTTTGATTTTATACTTTTTATTCGTTTCGGCATCTTAAGGGGAATTAATTGGCGTCCAGTGAAGTTTTAGGAAACGACAATCAGCGTAATTGTTAATTTTTTCCCAGACGGTCGCACACACAAACACACACGCATATATATATATATATATATATATATATATATATATATATATATATATATATATATATATATATAATATATATATGGGGGGGGGGGGCACCAAACTGAAAGTTTGCCCCGGGCGCCGGAAAGGGTCGCTACGCCTCTGGTTCGGCGGTTAAGACACACATCCAACTCAAATGATTTGCGATCGGATTTTGTTAGTGCGGCCGGTAGAGCTAGCAGCCGATGACAGTTCAATTACAACAGCGCGACATAGACCTAGTAATAAAGTGCTAGATAGCAGTAGCATGTAGGCCTATCAGTATCTATATCGTAGAACCCTTGACATCACGACACACATACTTCACGAATTGTGTCAACGCCACCTATACAGGCGCGCGTTAAACACGCTGTGAAAAAGATAATTTTTATTGTTGCCCAATAGTGACTTGTGACTGTCGTGATGGTAAGTGAGGGAAAAAAAAAAACAACGGTATTGATTCACATGCGTAAGTGAACTTAATGGGGGTCTGCGTCCTAACTATCTATAATAATTTGCAATGCCAAGTAGAGCGATACTAGTATAGCGCCGACAAAACTAAGAGAACACATCTTAAGCTGCACGGAGATGGGAAAGACAAGAACACCGCGCACGCTGATATAAGATGAAGCCACCATTTCTTAAAGACAGCGTACAGCACAAACACTGATTTGCTGTAAATATTCATTATGTAGTGAAAATAATATTTTAATGGTTTTGTTCTTTGAGTACAGTGGTGTAGATATAGAATATATAGGCCTACCTAAGTTTTGAATTTGAAAAAAAAAAAAACATATTTTATTCTTCCTATAAAGCAGGTGGGGTTAGGTACTTTCAGAAATGTTAAGAACCACTGTAGTAAAACATAAAAATAATTCTAAGCCACCTCACATATCTCTATACTCACCTTCTTGTTTTATAGTTACTAGCGTACTCTTTGCGCGCGTTGCTGAGATCTAGTGCTACTCACAGACCAACGTATTATTTTATAAGGGTTTAACAAACGCGTTAAATTACAAATCACGTATTTTTAGACGCGTGACCTTGCCTTTGTGCAGGCAGCACACAGTGTTTCTTCCAGACTTTTTTCTCCGGGGGGGGGGGGGGCACTTGAAATTTTCGGGGGGCGGTAGACTTTCTTCGGGGGGGGGGGGGCGGACACTGTTAAAAGTTTATATTTTCTATATAAATTATATAAATTTCATTTCGTTCGGGACTAAGCCCCTCCCCCCCCCCCGAAGAGATGCATGGAAGAAACGCTGGCAGCACAACCAAAGGATACCCAAGTGTTAAGATAGCTGCTGGGGAACTCTGTGTGCTAAAAGCACCCTACTGTCGGGTCTCCGACCCTCCGATTTTTACTTTAATTCAAGTTAGGTTTTACGAATGTGAAAATAAAATATATCCTATATATATATATATATTCTATTCAGGAAAACAATAAATGTTTAAAGACTTTAATAATTTATTGTACAATATAGAGTCTAGATCTAGATCTAGATCTAACAGTAGATGATAATGCCCACATTTTCATTTACTTTAAATTTGGATATAGATCTAGATCTAGTCTAGCTCTAGATCTAGGTGTAGATGAAGAAAGAGCAAGTAAACAACGCTTTTTAAACTGCTGGCGTGTAGAATAAGGGCGATACCCAAATTTTCATTGACTGCAGCATTGGTAGGCCTATCGAAGTATTTTGCTTATTCTTTAACGTCATGTCTCATTCAAATAACATTCAGTCGCAAGACCATCTTGGGAAAAATAAAGAAGTATCGTATAAGAGGACACCCGCTTCTGCTAGTGATGTAATTTCTGCTACTTCTTAGGCTTTTTTTTAAAGTTGCGATCTGTTTTTTTAGTCACGCAATTAATGATTCTGATTGGCTTGGCAATGAATCATCATTAATTTTAATTTATCAGATGATGATGATAATTAATTAGATAATTGAATTAATTGATAGACTAGAATGCTAAATAAATCTAGATTCTAGATATTTTAGGCATTTAAATTAAAATTTTAATCTAGACTCTAGGTTAGTCTAAATCTAGATCTAGATGTTACAACAATACAAGGAATGAGCACAACTGGACGTTAAGAAGAGGGTGTCAGTGATAGTATTAGTAGTGTATGTATTAAGTATTAGTAATTTAGTATGTAAGTCGTAAGAGGTTGCTAGGGTTGAGAATCTTAAAAAGTGCGGAAGTATGACTGTGATGCAGTGACAAAAATATAATCTAAAGGCAGGATAATCATTAATCACATAGTCCAAACTTCACCAACTTTTACGTTGACCCACACTATTGGAAGCAAATATATTTTTTCCTGCCACAAATAACATCGGTTACAGTAGGCATAAAAGACGCAAAAATACCCGCCTTTTGGAGTGGCTGGTATTTCCAAACTTAACGTTGAAATGGTTAGTTGAACTAAGCTGGAAAAATCATTCAATAGATGCTAAGGTCTGGTAGCCATATTATTGTTAGCTATGGCCACACCCCCCCCCACCCCCCCCTCCCCCCCAAGTTTGTAAGCATTCATAGATAAGTATTAAGTTTGTGACACAGTTTTGTGGGGATTGTCACTTTCAATCAGCTCACTAAATTTCAACTAGTTTATTATGATTGAAACAAGAATTTTAACATACAATAGGCCTAATACCAATACGATTTTGTTTATCATTCCAGACAAAGAAATTTCAACATTAGTTTAAGAACCTAACAGAATATTTCAATAAAATAAAATCTTTTTCTTTAATGAGTGGATGGACAAGGAATGTAATTGAAGTCGTATTTATTGTGTATTCAATTTTAATCAGTAAACCAAAAAAAGACAGTGTCTTAAAGATTAAAACATGGTTTTGCTATATATAAGTTTACAAAATTACCAGATCCAGTAAAGATATTCATATTCAGGTTTTCATTCAATTTATACATGTTTTATCATCTAAACATCTAACCCTTTACAAAATTGATTAGTAAGTAAGCCTATAAGTAATGCAAACATTATATTCTTTTCTTCAGTTGAAAGAGCAAAGGTTTTCCAACAAAGATAGTAAGTTCATCTGAGACTAGATAATTTTTTACTGTGTTTTAGTTGTAGTAAAAATTTATAATATTAAATTAGTTGTTTAAATCAAGGCGATGTATAGAAATAAATAATATTTCGTATATCTTTAAATTCTAAATTTAATTTGAACTAAGCAAACATCTGTTTCATTAGCAAAATTTTTTTTTTATGCTACAATTTTTATATACCCATAAAAGGTAATACAAATTTTCAACCTTTCTTCAGGAAAAGCATTCAAAAGAAAATGGCGAGAAGAAAAACTACTAGCTCAAATGGAAAAAGACAAAAAAATTCGTCTTGAAAAGGAGAAAAAATTAAAAGAGGAAGAGCAAGAGAAACAGAAAAAAGACCAATGTGGTAGAGCATATACAGTTTCTATAGCGCTGCCTGGGTCTATACTAGACAATGCACAGTCTATGGAGCTGCGAGCTTACCTAGCAGGGCAGGTATGTATCTAGAGATCTTTAATTAATATAAAGAATTTATACCTGATATTGGTTAACAATTTAAAGTGGGCTTACATGATAGTGACAGATAGATGATTACCTATGTAATATACTTTCTGTTAATTTTTTTAGACACGTATAAATTTCATTATCAAATAGTCAAAAAAGGTGTTGAAATGCTTGATATGATTATATAAATATTACATTATTATTTGCTTTTGTCTTCATAAAAAAATTGATTTCAAATCCTCTAATTTAGATTGCCAGAGCTGCAGCAGTTTTCAATGTTGATGAAATTATTGTGTTTGATGAAAATACACAATCAAGGTTAATTAACGTAAAACTTTTTTTGTGATGTAATTATTTAATAAAAAAAAATAAGGCACTTAATTAAAACATTACATCACAACTTAATTTTTCTTTCTATTAACTGCTCCAGGATTATTTATTAATAACATTGTTACAATTGAATTACCAATTTCAGACAAGATAAGTCTGAGTTCAGTGGCCTCAAAAAGCCAGGTCATGGCAATACACAGCTGTTCCACATTCTTCAGTATCTTGAGTGTCCACAGTATCTACGGAAAGCATTTTTTCCTTACCACCCAGATCTAGCCCATGCGGGTGAGTTTATTTGATTGAAGTGCTCGTCATGTCAACTTATACATTTCAGTATATATTTTTCACAGTTTCTTTGTTGCACCTAATATGTATTGTGATTATCTTGAGCCTAGAAAACATTTGTTTTAAATTAATCAATATTTTATGGCCTTTGTATACATAATACTATTTCTGTTAATTTATCTAGTCATTTTATAGTTCAAGATATTTTGTTAGTCTCCTTTTTATGCCTTAATTTGCAGAACATTTTAGTGATGAATGTCATGTCTTAGTTTATACTCTTTTTATCCTGTTAATGATTTTGTGCTATTTTCCAGCCTAATAAAGATGATATTAAGCATCCATTATTATTGATGACAAGCACATGATACTCATGGTAAATCTAAGTGAAAGTTTATTTTAGCATACTTAAAAATGTCTTTCCAGGCTTGTTGAACCCCCTTGACACCCCTCATCATCTTCGAGAATCAGATACAAGTCAATACAGGGAAGGTGTTGTATTAAAAAAGCCAGTCAGCAATAAACAAAATGCAGGATCTTTTGCAAATATTGGTTTAAAACAGGTTTGTTCATTTCATTTTTGGCATATGAGTAGATCATCTCATTAAGTTTTTATATTTTTTGGATTTTTACATCATCTTAAGTTAACACAAAAAATACATGTTTTAGTTTTAGACTTACTTTATTTTAACATATTAAATCATATTAGAATGAATTTTAAAGTAAACCATCGATTAGAAGAAAAAAATATATATACCAGAAACTTCAATTTGGCTGAACAATGAAAATGGGATTTTTTTTGTTTTATCTAGGAAGTTCACCTCAACATGGTAGTACCACCTGGCCAAAGAGTGACAGTAAAGCTAAAAGAACAAACTCCAGGTAACTAGTCAACTTTATTATAACCATAACATTTGATTATTTTTCCTCATACTTTGAAGAAGTAAATTTTTATTTCTGAAGTTTGTCTAAACAATTGAACAATATAGTGAAAAGAAATGTTAATATTTATTACTATAACTATTTTATCTAAATAGTGAATACCTTGGTAATAATATGATATTCTGTTGTCTCGCAGAAAAGAAAGTTCTCCAAGGTGTTGTTGTCTCCCCTAATGAACCCAGAGAAATTGCAGGTTTATACTGGGGCTATACAGTTCGACTGGCATCCTGTCTTAGTGAAGTGTTTACAATGTCACCATATGATGAGAACTATGATTTGACCATTGGAACATCAGAAAAGGGGAAACTTGCAAATGATGTTGAAGTTGGAGCATTTAAGTAAGACATGATTTCATGAAATCAACTTATCATTTCAGAAATATTCTTAATAATCTAATTACGTCTCAAAAATAAAAAATAAAAAAGGTCCGCTTTTGATAAAGGTACTGTGTAGCTATTGAATTACTCCCCTAGAATAATTAATTTGTACATTTATCCAAAGATAAATAATTTTGATTCATATACAAGTCGATTATCAGAAAGCCTTTATTTAAACAATTTGCCATAAACAGCAGCTTTTGAAAAATAATTATTTTCATAAATAGACATTGATGAGATTTAAAAAACAAATTTTGTTATTTAAAAAGAGCTTAATAAATAAAAACTAGATTATTTAACCTTTAATTTGATACCAAGTTCAATCTTCAAAGTTTAAAGATAGCCTAGAAAATGATTTCTTAAAAAAGCTGTTTGTTATTAAATAGTTTCCGAGACAAAGCTCTATACTTTTTTAATGCTGTGTTCCCTTTTTTTCATGTGTTCTCTTGACCCAATTTACTGTTAAAAAAAATAAAAATAAATAAATAGGGATTTGCTTAGATGGCTGTCGTCATTGTTATTTTCTTTAGTAATTATCTTTGTATTTAGATTCTTTCATTAGTGATTGATAGTTTTGGCACTATGGAATATTGAAGTATCTTTAAAAGCAACAATGTTTTGTTGGAAAGCATTAAGGATTTTATATACTATTTAACATGTAACTCTTACCTTATTTTCTGCACCAGTTTACCAAGCGCTTCGTCAATTAAAATACAAATAACAAGTACACAAGAAACACTAAGCATTCATTTTTTAAATGATAAGAGTATATTTTTTAAAATGACCTCAAAACTTTGTATAAAAACAAAAAAATGACACCTAGTCTTTTTTAGAAGGCATGATTACCAATCAAGGGAATGATAAAAAAAAGGTTATGCATCAGATGTATAAGATGTTTAATCAAAGTGACCAAAAATTATTTATCACTTCCCTGAGTAAAATAGCTCACCAGCTTTAAAACAGCTGTACATTTTCTTCAAGTTTTAAGATTTAGTGTGTTATTACTCAATGTCTGGTTGTTTTTGCTATTTGTTAGACACGCCCTGATTGTGTTTGGTGGCCTGAAGGGGCTGGAGGCAAGTGTAGAATCTGATGACAAAATTAAGACAGATGACCCTAGTGAGCTGTTTCACCATTATGTCAATGTATGCCCCAACCAGGGGAGCCGGACAATACGCACAGAGGTGAGAATTTTTATTTTAGAGATATTATGTGTGATTATAATATTTAAGGACTGAGTGTTACATCAGATTTAAACACAATGATTCCTCTCCCTGTATGGAAGAATTTAAAAACAAATTGATTATCTTTCTTACTTACTTAATCCTCTTTGTTCCTTGTGAAGCATGGGGGCCTCAGCCATAACATTCCATTTTGATGGTCCCCTGCTGTTATTTTTGTGATCTCCCAAGACTTCCCTGCTGCCTTCAGTTCTTCAAGAAGGCTTTGCTTCCAGATCTATCTTGGGCTCCCTCTCTTCTGCTTTCCCTGGGTTTCCACTCCAATGCCTGGTGTGTCACATTTGAGTGTGCCTTTCACAGTGTGTCCCACTCAGTGCCACTTCCTCCTTAAATGTACTGTCATGGGCTCCATCGGTCTATATTCTGCACTTTGTCCTACAACCTCAATTTCAGAATCTATGTAATATATTTCTACATGAAGGTCTGTATCTTCACTGTACCTTCCTTGGAGACTCTCCATATCTGTGTTCCATTTAACAAAACTGTTGTGACATTAGAATTTAGCATCCTAATTTTTGTTGTGTTGGAGATGGCAGAATTTTTCCATATGGGTTGCAGATCTGTGGGCTCTATTAATTCTAGCATGTATGTCCCCTGTGCCTCCTGATTTGCTGATCTTGCTGCCAAGGTAGATGAATTCTTCCACATCATCTACATGTCTTCTGTCTGTTGTTACTGGGGCCTCTTGGTTATGTTGACTCTCATTCTGATAAGGTGACTGTTGTGGGTCATATGTAAGTAAGGTTAGTATAGCCCAGAAGTCAAGGGTAGTGCCTCTGTGAGCTAACTCCCTATGTTATGTATTAGTACCCCATGTTGGAATGTGTGTAAAAAATTGGTAAAATCCGTGTGTAAAAAAATTATTGTGAGGGGGCTTTTTATGTAGTAAGGTAGCGGGTAGAAACGGTGATAGTTAGAAGTGTGCATAAGGATATGGCAATTAGGGACTAAAAAAGCATTGTGTAGCCTCTGTTGAAGTTATTTAATTTGACGTTAACAGTTACTAAAAACTTGTATAGACAAAGTGTTCTTAACACACAGTTGGATGTCAACAGTTCAGACGATCTAGTCTAAAAGTGCGACAAAGAGAACACTTGAAATAGAATAATTGTTTTTCTCCATCTTCAAAAGTTAACATAGATGTAGATAAAGTGTACCTTGCAAATTGAGCATTTTAAATTTTTAAATTATCTGTACTGACATAGCTTTCTAGATTAGATTAGATTTTTGTATTTGCTAATATATTCATTTTTATATTAAAATACTTGTGCCTCATTGCCTGGTATGTTATTAATGTTACTTTAGTGTAATTCTTGTTTTAAAAAATATTGGCATACTCTACCATTCTTATGTTTCCCTCCATTTTTTAGGAGGCGTTGTTAATAGCCCTCACAGCTTTGACACCTAAGCTTACAGCAGCCAACAGATTAACAGCGACATCTTGATGAAAACTTTTTTTTAAAAATAAAATATATTTAAAAAAATGTTTGTATACATTTTTTACTGTCTTCGGAAGAGTGTGAATTTTATTCAGATAGTTAAATGCTTTCTAAAAACAATCATACTGAATATGCATGGTTTAGTTCTTACCACACAACCTCATCAGAATGATGAGGTCACACACAAATTCTATTTTTAGAGACAGCCTTGTCAAATCTTTAGCTCAGTTCTTGTGGTCATAGGATTGAACTAAGTCCACCTATCTGTATACACACTGTAGTGCAGACCTATGTAGATGCCTGGGGCCAACTCTAAAGAAGATGCCCCCATAAATACATTATATATATATATATATATATATATATATATATATATATATATATATATAAAGCTTAGTTACAAAAAGTAGAAATAAGTTATGTTGAACGTTAATACACATAGAAAAGCATTTTTAAAAAAAATTGTACTTGTCTAAATCAATATGAAAACGTTGACTACAGCTAAATCCCAAGAAATGAATGGGTGGAACTTCAGGGCGGTGAGACAATTGGGGGACGTGTCATGGTGGGGGGGGGGGGGAGGGGGGGCTGTGATGCACTACAAAGAGTCTAATCCGGTTTTGTATTACCGCCTGGGACCGCGGTGACAAAAACGTTCGTGTCTACAATTAGGGCGTCAGATATGCCTTTATTATGGGCTGCTTCTCTCTTGGCCTGTTTAAGCATTCCTATAGTGTAACTAATACAGATGAGAGTGCATTGAACTAGAGATGTTTCGCATTTTTTTCTCTAAACCACTTGGTCAAAACGTCAACTCATTAAAATTAAAGAGATGGGTGATGCTAGATACTCTCAAACTATCTGAACCTTGAATATAACAGAAGTATACCTTGGTTGGCTAAAGCTGCCAGCCCCACCACACCTTAATACTTAAAAAAAAGCCACTTCTACATCGGACTGTGTTTAAAAATCCACTGTGCTATGTCAGACCCTCCCTACATCTTGGACGTGTTTTCCCAAATTTAACACCTAGATTACGCCTGTCTAGTTCAGGTGGGAGATAATCCACTAACGGCTTCCATGGCCTGAAAACCTACACCGCCTCCCCACACAGTGCTGGCGCCAGGTTATTTAGCGCCCTAGGCAAAACTTATTAAAAGCGCCCCCCTCCCCCCCCCCCCCCCGCAATTTTTTTCGTGCCCCCCCCCCCCCCGTATTATCAGAGACGTAGCGACCCTTCCCGGCGACCGGGGACAAACTTTCGATTTTCACCCCCCCCCCTCAAACTTTCAATTTGTTTTCCAACCCATTTTGGCGCCCCCCCCCCTGCAGTGCATGGGAATAATTTGGTCACAAGTACTCTAAAAGATGCCCCTACACTATACTAAATAAATATCACACACATTTATAAAGGGAATATCAATGACTACCATACGACTGATGCCCGCTTTTTCTATATAAGTTTTGCCATACGGACAGTGTAATGTCTAAACGAGTGACAGACGATTGAGTGTTACAATTTGTTTTGGGTGAGATCGACAAACATATGGAAAGTTAAGAGACACCATGACCAAAAAAAAAAAAATTCCACCTCCGTTGGATGCGATATAGTGGTGGACGCCCGGGGCCTGGGCCCCGTTCGCCACCCCCCCTCTGCACGCCACTATGTATACATCCACCCTTTTGAGTGTCAAGTCAAACAGTAGGTGCTGGATTGTGATTGAACAGTCATGAGTAGTATCCCTTCATATGTTACTGTCACAGAAACAGGTGAACTTTACTTCCCTGGCCCCCCTGGACTGTCAGGTTTGAAAAGGGAACTTTGCTTTTACTAATACACAGATAACCTTCCATGTTTTTAAGTCATAGAGCACTGTTACGGGTCAGTTGTAGGTTAGATTAGAATAGGTTAGAATAGTCTAGAACTAGGGGAGAGTGCGGGTGTGAGTGGAGTTCACCCTACTGTGTAGTTACCCTTGTGTGTTTATGTCTTGTAATCCCAAGGTCGAATGCGGGTATAAAAGGGCGAGTGAACGATTGTGGGATGGTCGGTCAGCGGGTTAGTAGCGGTTAGGACGAGGGCTGTTCTTGTACGCTTGAATGCATTGAGACGAATAAAAGTAGTGAAGTTATACACTAAGTGTTGTTGTTGATTTAAAACGAACCCAGAACGTAACAACAGGTGGCCAGTAGAAGCAAAGACTCGATGCTGTCCGTTTGCCTGATGCTGTCCTGACGTTCGCCTGATGCTGTCCTGACGTTCGCCTGATGCTGTCAGTTTTCCTGATGCTGTCCTGACGTTTGCCTGATGCTGTCCTGACGTTTGCCTGATGCTGTCCTGACGTTTGCCTGATGCTGTCCTGACGTTTGCCTGATGTTGTTGTTGTTGATTTTAAACGAACCCAGAACGTAACAAGCACATCAGATTAAAATTTTGTGCTAAGCATTCTGAGCTTAATATTTCTTGACAGTGTATTTGAAATATTTACTGGGTTAAGTATATTAAATGCATTCCAAGTGTCTGGCTTAAATTAAAAGACATTTAAATTAATTTAATGTACCAGAATTTCAAAATCTGGTTACTTATCCCAGTTAAAAAATTAAATTCTAAGGTGAACACAACTTTTGATTAAATTTGGCAACAGCTTCCACAAACACATAAATGCCAAGCAAACAACCATTATATTTAATAGAATATATATTATTATATATTTATTTATTACATTTGAAAGCAATAGAACAGCCCTGATTATACACAGAGCACCTTGAAGTCTAAGCTACTTGAATTTACTTTCTCACTCCCATTCTGCAGTCAAAAGCCTGAGATGTGTACAATTAAAAAAAAAACAGTAAGGAAAATAAGCTTTTTCTGTCACAATACTGCTAATACACATTCAACCTGGGATGGCCAAAAAAAGTTCTTTGCATATGTAATGTGAAACAAACAAAATTATAACTAGAGGAATGTATTTGAAAAAAAAATATATGACACTGTCAGGGTCATTTACTTTTTAAAGTAGAGCAGCTTGTTAAAATATTTTTAAAAAATGGCAGCAGGAAACAAATAAAAGTTAAAATTTGCCTGCATAAGCTGGATGCAGAAAAAAATAATCATTCATAAAAATATTTACATAGCCTTGGTGTGGTGTGTAATTACCAGACTTGCACAGATGTAGGAAAACACCTTGAAAATTTAAATCGTTGTCTTAAAAAATATATAGTTAAAACGCTCAATGTCGAGGTCACAACCTTTGAGCTTACTCCAAAAAAAAAAAAAAAAAAAAAAAATCACAACCTGATTTTACAGTTTACTACACAGTAATAATTTGAAATACAGCATGTCTCCATGCCCCTCGAAATGTAAATGCTGCCATTCAACCAAATCACGAAACGGAAATGGAGAAGTAAGAGTGGTCTACATTCCCACGTCAGGCGTAGTGAGTAACGCCATTTAAATTAACCGCTAAATTTGGCAGTAAGAGTGGCTTTCTCCTGCAAAAGAGTAAACAGGTTATTTTAAATTTTAGGTAGGAAAGAAAGAAAGAATAACAGTAGATTTATTAATATCATTTACATTAAAATTCATACTATGATTGATGTAAAATAAATCATAGTTGTGGATGTTTTCCTGTTATTTTTATTTTTAGTTCTGACTTTATTGGCCAGAATTGTTTACGTTCTCTAAGCAGGATTACAACTTACATTGCCAGCTTCATCCAGCAGTTTCCAAACACAGGATCCAATAGTAAATGAGGGAATATCTGCAATCTGTTCGTTGTCAGCTGTTGCAGTATCCTTGAAATTCTTGGCCCATACCTAGGAGAAAGAAGCAAGAATATTTTTATATATGAAGACTTTTTTGTCTTAGTTTGTGTTCATGTACCGATCATGGGAGTTCTAGGCAAATAAACAAAGTTTAACAATAGTTTTTCTAATATTGCTTTCAGTACCAGGTAATGATAACATTATGTGAAAACTGTTGATATTTAAAAAAAATAATTATTGCCTCTATAACATTAAAAAATATACTTACAGTGTATTGGCGACCAGCTGTCAATTCCAAATCTTTCAAATTAACCTCACAAGTGGTCTTTTCACCAGCTGTCCTTACCAGTTTCCATCCCTTCAAACTCTGGCTCTAAAGTTTAAAAATAAATAAAAACACATCAGAAATAGTAATAAATTGTGTAAATGCCTTAGTAATGTGTAAATGAATACATTCGAAAATCACTAGGAAAGAAAAATTACCTTTGCACGAGCACCTGATGTGGTGTTTTCAATGACAACATGTCCACCATTGTGATCAAGGCCGGCGAATCCAATAGGGCCCTTGGATGTTCTCTGGATAGTCAAACTTCCAGTTGATTCTCTCAAAGCTGAAAATATAGACATTAAACTATTATGTTTATACTAACCGTCCCGGCCAGGCCATGCACTGGCCTCTATAAAAAACCTATATGTAAAGGACCATGATTTCTGTGTTTATCAAGCAGCATATACCCCGCTTTGCCCGGGTTTAGGAAATATATTACTTTTTAAAATTAACCCTAACCACAACCAACTAAAAATAAAACATAAACACATAAACAATCGCAAACATAACAAACGCAAACCCAAACACAGACAAAAACAGAAACACAAACGTAACGCAGACACAAAAGCAAATACAAAAGCAAACATAAACGCGACACAAACGGTAACATAAACACAAACGCAACTCAAACACAAACGCCAACACATAGATAAACACAAACGCAAACATAAATGGAAACAATAACGCATAGCATAAACACAAACATGAATGCAAACATAAAAGCATAGTGCTCACAGTATAGCCCAGGGCGTCACACCGCATCCTGCCGGGGCACTAGCGGAACCACCTGATACAACTTAGTAAACAACTAAAATACCCCATCATATCCATAAGCTAACCAACAGTTCAAACCAAACGTCGAAGCCATAGCGCTAATGGGAATGCCCGGGGCGCCAAATAGCACCCTATTGGTGCTCCAGAGGATGCCCGGTTTCGATTTAGTTAAGGACTATAGTAACCCTTCTTATCCATAGTCTATCGCACTGTTTGAAACGAACTTAGGCGCCATGAGGCTCCCTGTTGGGGCGCCAGAAGACGCCCTGGATTCGATTTAGTGTTCGACTATAGTAACACTTTTTATTCACAGCCTATCGCATTTGTTAAAACAAACGTTTGCATCATAGCGCTCACAGGATAGCACAGGGCGCCAAATCGAACCCTGCGGCCACGCCTGATTCAATTTAGGAAACGACTGTAATACCCCAAGCAAATGGAAAGTTAGAAATAAACATAGAAGACATTTAGGAGCGGCTTCTAAACTGTCATTGATTAAAAATAATAATTAGTAAACAGTACGTTCAGTGTATAAAATAAATAAAAATCAGTATTTAAAGTATCCGTGTTTTACCTACCATATTGCACTTTATCTATCCATGCTAATTATATTGTTCCAACAATAATGCTATCCTGGACATCCGTGGAATTTGCATTTACATTTTTTTAATTAGTGTGATTAGAATTAAAAAAAAATAACCACCCCTCCCCCTTGCATAATTATTAAACATTTTAAGTAATTACATTTTTACCCTACTGTTATTAAAATGTATCAATATTTTTTTTCTAGGAATCTAAGCGATAACATTATTTGACTTGGTTTGTTTAATATGTTTTAGTAATGTGCGTGTTTTTAATATTTTCTTTACGTTATGCGAAAGAGTAAAAACTGCCAACTATTCAAAAAAATTAAGTCGTTATATAGATAAACCCTACCCTATTACTTAAAAAAAGACAATTCGATGTAAGTAAAATGCACGGCTTGTGCTGTTGTTTACTTTTATTGTTCCAAAGAACAGAACAATGGAAAACACCGGAGGCTCTCGGCACAACTGGTTGCCATACTAACCAGATAATTGGATGGCATCGCTGATGGCAGCTACTTTTCCTTGTGCTCCGTAGACTTGTTCAACGAGTGACCCTATACTATCCCTATATCCACGAAGACCAACCCTGAAACAAGTAAGTGATACTTCAGTTAGATTATGACATTCTTACATTATGACATTCAGTCATAACGGTTCAAAAAGAACAGATATAATATGTATCATAACTCCAAAACTGCTATAATATATTCAATATTTGAATGAATTTACTATTCATTTAACTAATTGAAGAAAATTTAAAAATGTGAAGTACCATGTGAGCGCATACTAAGAGAAAAAGAGAGTTAAAATGCTACAAGAACTGACCTTTGTTCTTCACTCTCCAGCAGTTTCTTGTAGACTGAAATCTCCGCCTCCAAGGAGAGCTTGATAAGCTTCAGGCTGTTCACCTCATTAAACACGCTCTCGAGCTGGTTATCCTTCTCGCCGCAGTCATAGTTGTACTTGTATCTCAGATCATCCAACTCGCGCTCAAGTTCACTCCTTTCGCGAATCAAATCATCACGCTCATTTTGGATGACGGTAATCTGCGGACAAATTCATGTAGAGTTTTATAAAACCGAAATCTCTTTGATTATTTTTTTTTTACAACAGGGACTGCCACTGTTAAATCAATATTTAAAAAAAAATTGAACTTTTGAATAAAAGGCACAAAATAGGATTAGCTAAGTATAGCATATTACCTTAGAAGAAATGTCAGTAAAAGCGGCATTCTTCTCCTGGATTTGACTTTTCAATTTCTTGCACTCTTCTTGGAGCTTAGATAATTGCGCGTCATCCCTAACAAAGCCACAGCGCAGATGCTCAATCTGAAAAAAAATTAATAACAATGTTTATACTACGTAAACGTTAATGAAGTTTTCTTGCTAATACAAAAATGATTGGTAGTAATGATATCAGCTTTTATATTTAGTAATGTCTAGTTTTAAATTATCTACAAGACTACTCGTTATCCTCGGTTAACTGTGGGTTTCGGGGGTCATCCATAAATGATATCAAGTTTGTTTAACGATTTTCATCTTTCCCCTCCCCTCCCTACTGTCACACATCGTCACAAAAAAACCAGACCCCACATTAAAAAGACGTCATAACTCAGGCAACATGTTTTTGTCTATTAAAACACCGTTTTCGGCTAAGCATGGGTCTGGCTACACTATCCCTTCATATGCTGACGTCACAAGTGAACTCTACTTCACCTGCTGAACTCTACTTCACCTGCTATGTGTCCCGCCAAGTCTCAGAGGCTATTTTTTTCTAAGTGCCTTCTCCATGTTGTCAAATTCAGTCATTGTTCTTCGTTTGCAAGTGATTTATGATGAATTGTGTGGTGTGTGGAAAATGGGGTGTATGTGTGAGATGAGTTATTGGATGTGAAGGGTGAATGTAGTGGTGTGAAGTGATACTTAGGTTATGCTGTGTGAGACACTGAAATCGCAGGTAGCGGTGTGTGTTTTATCATCTAGAATATCGGTGGAGTATGTTTTGGCGTGGATAGGTGATTAGGTGGGTATGGGGTGTGGTATTGGGGTTGAGGGTATGGTTCGACTTGGTGCGGTGTGTGGTTCATGGTTTTGTACGGGTGGTGGTGAGGTATATTATTCTCCATTCACACCAATGGCAAAGCACGGGTATACAGCTAGTTAGCTATAATTATAGTGTCAAGGTAATATTGATAAGATAGTTATGCAAGAAAATTATACATATTAAATAATAAATTCTTAAATACCACCTTGTAGTAGAATTCAATGAATTTAGGTTGTAGGGATGAAGTTGAATTTAAAACAAAATTGTAATTGACTTAAAAAAATGTTTTTGTAATAAATTTTGTTTAGCTGTTATGATGTTTACTTACTTGAGTACTGTATTTGAATTCCCATTCTTGTTGCATTTGATCAACCTTATAGTCAAAAGTAGACTGGATCTCTCTGACGCACTTAGCCAATTCAGATTTCCAGAAGTCAACATAGCCCATGCCCTTGATTAGGATTGGTTCAGGCTTCATCAACTCAAACTAAGGGTGAAGCAAAAAATGAATTGTTCCATCAATTGTATATTGGCCAAACAAAATAATTTTGTTTTTAAAGAGTTTTAAGCTGGGATGCACTGACGGAAGTTTTAAAATCGAATATATATATATATATATATATATATATATATATATATATATATATATATATATATATATATATATATATATATATATATATATATATATATATGTGTGTGTGTGTGAAAGCGCATGTATGATGATGGTGGGGTTCGGTATCTTCAAAAAGATTAAGAACCTTCTGTTTAAAGGAAGGTTCATACAAGGTGCAAACGTATTTGTTCCACTTTTGGTCGTGTCTTTAGAAAAGATTTGAAACAGGTATATTAGGGTTTTAAATTATCAATTAGGATGAACAAAGTAATAAAGCAGTAGAAGTAGTGTTGTACCAGTTGTACCTGGTTTAATCTAGACCCTTTTCATACTTTTGGCCGCTAAACCTATATCATGCAGATCATTTACAAGCTTAGACAAATAAATTAGGCAGTAGTTTTTAGTGTTTTTATAATCAAATATCGATGACGTAATTATTATTTTGTATTGTTTTCGGCATTAGATTTTTAATTATATTTAATTAATATATCTAATTGTATTTTTACTTTAGAATAAAAAATATAATATTTTATATAATATATATATATATATATATATATATATATATATATATATATATATATATATATATATATATATATATATATATATATAATATTTTATCAAGAGGTACCTGCTCAATCTGAGCTCTGTAGAACTCAGCCTCTTCACTTTTGGTCTGGGCAAGACAATCTGCCGTAATGTGAGCTATTGTCTCAACGTCCAGATCCTAAAAAAAAGTCCAACATTGTTTTTATCATAAAGTAATGTGGGAGTGATCTCCCTTAAACTTTCTCGTAAATTCATATTCGATTTTTGTCACATAAGTATTAAAATGTGGTCTAGTTTTACATACTGTAGTATACCATTAATATAGAATCTTTTAAAATATTACAAGTTAACTAAACCGGGAGTGATCTCCCATAAACTTTCTCGAATATTCTTATATAAAATAACAGGGGATGGGAACTCCATTTTAAATAGGCCTACTTAAAATTTTTAAAATAGAAGAAAATCTCGTAGAAAAAAGAATTGCACATGAAATGAACGCCAAATGAAATGTGCATAATAGTGCGCAATATTATTAGTACTTTATAAATTTACATGCGTTTTTTGAGAAATCGGAAATAACGTAAATTAGTACTTCCGGTCAACGAAAATTACTCAAAATTTGTCAGAAGGTAGACAATTAGATCTTTTACTTACATGTGAAATTTCATGTATCTATCTGAAATAATACTCAAGTTATAGGCTTTTGAAAAATTCAAAGTAGAAAAAGTACCACTTCCGTTTATCAGAAATCGCCCAAAAGGTGATATGGATGTACGATTTTGATAAAATACTTATATATGAAATTCAATCAACCTAGCTGTAACGGTACTCAAGTTATCGTGTTTACACACAGACAGACAGACACACACACAGACATACAGATATACGGACAAGATTGCAAAATTATGTTTTTCCGTATCAGTGAGGTGTAAAACGTCGAGATTTGTAAAAATCTGTTGTTTTTTTTGCACGATTACAAGACTTTCTCTATACTTCGTATATACGAGAAAGTAAAAAAAACCCACATAAACGTGACCTGGGGGGGGGGGGGGGGGGGGTGGGGGGAGGTGGTCATCCATTTATGACGTCCACACGGAGGAAGTTGGGGGGAGGGGCAGGTCAATGTTGACGTCCACATGTTGAATTTAATAACAAAATATTTACATAACAAATTATTTACATAAAATATTTCTTTTTTGACTGCCTGCAATCTTTGACTATCTTTATGAAAAGTTGTGTGTATAAAAAGTCTTTAAAATCCAGAGGTCGGCCCACACAGCGTCCATGTGCGATCACTCTTTCAATATAGAAATCTTTACTTCCTTGTATACAGAGTGCACAAAAATCATATGAAATTTTGACAGCTTTCATCGTTTTCAGTACTTCATCATATAAGGAGTACAAGGGACTTATTTTAATGGGGCAAAAATTAAAAATTCAGATTTATAAAAATTTTGGCGTTTTATGCGTAGTTGAGAAGGAAAAACATGGATTTACGATTCGGTCCTTATGTCTATGTGTTTGTCTGTAAACACGATCACTTGAGTACCTTTACAGATAGGTAGATGAAATTTCAAATACAAGTAATTTATCAAATTTGTAGTTAAGTATCAACTTTTCAACGATTTCCGGTAACCGGAAGTGGAACTTATTCTACTTTTGGGTTTTCAAAATTTCAGATAGATAAACGAAATTATTTCAAACATAAGTAAAATATCTAATTCTCTGCCTCGTGTCAAATTTTGAGTTATTTCCGTTGACCGTAAGTAGTAATTTACGCTTTTTCCAATTGATAAAAAAAAACAACAACAACTTATTTAATAAGTTTAAGTAATTAAAAATGGATTAAAAATCATGTCTATATCCCGAGTTGCCATCCCCCGTAGTGTTATATAAGAATATTCGAGAAAGTTTAGGGGAGATCACTCCCGGTTTATTTTAGATAGATCTCTAGTCTTGGCACATTCACAAGATCACAGGAAGTTTACACGCTATACGGTCATTGTGGAATATTTTATTTTTAAAATCTAATTCCTAACTTTTTCTAGACCTAATTAATTCAATTATTAGCAAGGTACACATTACAAGTTAATGAATAAGTAATATTTCGAGGGGTCTACTAAAATAAGTGGACGTCCACATTGTGTGTGTGTGGGGAGGGGGGGGGGATTGGGAGTGTTGCCGAAAGTGGACGCGTGTGGGCGGTGGGGGGGGAGGGGTGGTTCTAAAATTCGAATTTTTTTGTGGACGTCATAAATGGTCGACCTCTTCTTACTGAGCGAAGACGTCTGCAATTTGCTTGAGCATGCTCAAAGAGCTCACGGATCTTAGCGTTTTCTTTTTCAAGGAAGTCAATTCTGTTTCTCAGGATATCGAGTTCTCCCTCGCACTCTCCAAGTTTGTTTCCGTAGGTTTCAATCGTCTTTCTGTAGTCTTTGGCTTGGCTCTCTAGTTTAAGAATGCTGGAAAAAAATAACATTTATAAAAATAACGGCCCAAGTTAATAACTCAAAGATTAGAATTTAGATTGCACGTTTAGCAGGGAATTAAAGTACGCGAGCAATTACAATTTACACATTGCTTCCCTTTATATTCATACCATTGCATTTTAGAATGGTTAGATTGAGCCCCATTGCCGCAATATCAAAAAAGCTATGTTATATGTCTCAGTAGTGTCAGTAGTTAGACACGTTTAGAATTTCGTAAATATCGTAAAACATGTTAGGGGTCGGCAAATTAGGCTCGATAGCTTGGGATAGCAACTTTTCCAGGAGAGGTAACTCCAAAATCAAACAACTTTAAAAAGAATTTAAAGAATTTAAAGAAAAAATTGCTCTTTGCCGGGGTCAGTCCGTACATAGAATATTCCAGAATACGACATTTCCCCCTGTCTTGATATGATGTCAAACGTGCTCACACAGTACTCGAGAATTTATTCAAGAGGGCTCCACCAGCTATCTAATTAATATTGATTAATGTTGCTTTTGTTCTGCTCAAAAGATTGACAAGGCAGAGAAACTGTATGATGGCACCACTTTCATTTTTATAAAAAAATCACGAGATCATCTCTGTTTAATTTAAAACACCAAATTTTATAAATAGGCATAAAAAGTAAAATCTTTGTCAGGTCGTAATGTTAAATAAAACTATTTAGAGTTTGTCATAGATTTTTTAAAGTAATGAGTTTTATTCCAATTAGCCAACAGAGCGTAAGAATAATATATTTTGTCAACAGAAAGACAAGAATTTTTTTTAGTACTTTACATGTTTTTATTTACAAAAGAGTTACATGACTAAAAAAAAAACGCGTTTACATTTGCGACATGTATACTATACATGTTTAGAATACAAAGCCCGTTCACTCGTACAGAACATATAATATTATCGAACATTTTTGAAAATAAACATAACGTTTATAGCGTCTGCTATAGGCCTAGATAAATAATAGAAAGAGTAATCAAAGTAAAAAATAACTCGTAGATTGTGGGCAAGCAACTTTATTATTTTACTAGGCATACTGCCTAGCTTCGCTTAGGTTTTCAAAAAAATTGAGGAATTGAATGTTTAATTAATAGGTGATTGGCTGCTATGTTAAATGCTTAGGGCCTAAATTTATACAGTGGAGTAATTTCATGTTACTGAAATAGTGACGGAATATTCGCAAACTTATTACTCGCACGGTTATTAGAACTGCAAGGGGTTTCTTAATAGTATCAATCAAATATTATAATAAATAACTTTCGCAATTAATTTTTACAATTTCAGTACAATGCAAAAATTAACTTATAACAAAATATTTAATTAAAACAATGCTATACTTTATGATTTTTGGTTTTTTTTTTAAAAGAGTATACAAAATATTTAAAAATTATTTCATTAAAAAGTTACCTACCCTGTTCATAGACCAAATCTCGTATAATGATAATTTCATTCGCGGTCATTTTTAGCCCTCTTAGAGGGTTTTAAGTCTGACCAACAGTTTTTCTATACGGCGTAATAATCTATAGAGGTGTATACAAAAAATTAGCCAGATGTAAAGAGGGTAAGTGCCCTAAAATCCGTTTTCAAATTACCCTATGTTTTTCCCATAAAATACAAAGATTATATAGGAAATACGACTGGTCAGTTTTGACCCATTTAACGAATTTTCCCGGACATGGCGAGTTTTTTGTGACACCCCAAGGCGTTCTCCTACCACCTCACAAAATTTCAAAGGGGGTCGTCGGAGGAATTTTTTTTTCGTAATATAGCCCATATAAGGCGCCGGTCAGTCATGTTCAGTTTTGAACCCCCTCTCCGTAGACTTTTTGGCCAACCGTCCCCAGTTCTCGTGTTCTATTGCCCCAAGGCACCATCGTGCCAAATTTGACGCGCCTGCTGCGTCGGGAAGTGGCCTATCGGGCACCTGACCACTTTGCTTTATATATATAGATAGGAAAATGGTGTAGCCATGGTGCTTACAATTTTGTGACGGTGTGTGATGAGGGAGGGGGGGGGGGTTGGGTGGTTTCAGTTGGTGTGGCGTCACACTTGTGCATTATAAAAAAATCAATAATAGAATACGAATTTTAACCGTTATTTCGAGTTTTAGAGAACTGTTTTAATAAATTGAGAAATTGATTAAAATACTCTGTTCATAGTGTTTAGACAAGGTTATGGAAAAATATCGATGATTTCAGAAAAATTCAACTGCCATTGTAAGGGGTGAGGGGGGCTGTCGTGTGACGTCATTGCAGGGGAAGGGGTCGGGCTTTTTGTATTGATATGTGACGGAGGGACGTGGGGGCGGGGGGAGGGAGGTAAAAACCGTAAAAAAGCTTGACGTCATTTATTGATGACCATATACATTCAATAAAAAACAATATTTTCTATATAAATATGTATTTTAAAACTCTACACATTCAGCGGATTTTCTGATCTCTTGAAAATGACAAAAAGATAATAATATATAAATTTACAAAACTGTCAACTTTGGATCAATTTTAGTCATGGTCTTTTTTATGTGGGCTGGTAACTAAGATTGGGTCTTGTCACCCCTAGCTTGAATGTTCAACTTGTTTCAGACTTGTTCATTTCTTGAATTAGATCTTGCATATATATCTTTTTTTTCCACTCATGTATCGCTATATCTATAATATAAGCGGGCTGTTAGTGTGTCAGTCCTTATGTGTCGCTAATTTTATGGCTTGTATTAAACCACATTACTATTTATATGATTTTCACGTAAGTAGTCTTTTTAGGTTTGTTTGTAGTCCGATTGGGTATTTTGTCACTTTTAGTTTTTCTTGTTGTGTAGAGTTTTAATTATTTTTAGTGTTATTTTATAAATTGATAAGCTTTTTGTTTCATTTTAGACTACTTAAGACTAAGGGTATAATTTAACCAGTCTCGGTTTAGCCTGACTTGCACTGATCCTTGTATATGACGTCACGGATCGTTCAATAACTATCTCAGTTGGTCTTTTGAAAGTTATAAGGATAAAGTCCTTTTTTTTAAAAATCAATGTACATTTAAAACTAGTTATTTATGGTAACAGAAAGGTTGCATATTTTTTGACAGTGGGAGGTTTATCTTTTGTCTTGTTGTAAGAAAGTGGTTGTGTCTTTGTTGTGCTAGTGTTGTAAGTTGTGAGAGGAAGGGAGGGGTTGAATCTTTGCTAAAGAGCTAGACTGGTTTAATAGGGAATTATGTCCGTAACAGCAAACATGGACAGAACTTTGTGGGCGCCAGTTTACCTTTGTGGGGAGGCAATTTATTTTTAAACTCACGCAAGTTTATAGTATGCTGTACTATGGTAAATATGTTATAAAGTCTGCTTCTACTGATGGAAATGTACGTGCTGATTTTTTTAACTGGGACAAGACAAGGTTAGATAATTTGATAAATCAACAATAGGGGAGACAAATTAGTTATTAATGTAAAAAGTAGTGAGTATAATTGAGAATGGAGAAACAAGAATATTTTACTTCAATTGCATCACCAGAAGTTTAGAGTGTAAGTAAATGTCACCTACATTTCGCGCTGGTTGTTGATCTCTCCATCCAGGTCGACCACCTTGGCCTTACTTTCCCCATCGGAAATGCGTAGCTCTTTGAGGTCATCGCGTGCCTGTCGGAGCTCGATGTCATAGGCGTCCCAAATGGGTTTAAAATCTTGGACTTTTCCGCTGCGCAGAGCCTTATTTTCAGCCTCGAGGTTATTGATTTTAGCCTGTTGAAAGTGGACCTTTTGGATGTAGTCTGCCAGACGCTCGTTCAGGTTCTGCATCTCACGTTTTTCCTTCTCGCGGTTGTCCTTTAAGTCGAGTATTCCAGAGCTGGACAGCTGCTGGTAGACCCCGGAGGAGATGGAGTTGCGGTAATTGGCGCTGCTGGACCTATGGGAGTAATGTCCTGAGCAACGGCTGCTCACGCTGGAATTCGAGCGGCAGATCGTGAAATGCCTGGCCTGGATGCAGCTCTGGCGGCCTCCTTGTTCTTCTTCTTTCTTCTCCATCCTGAGACTTCTGGTTTTTAACAAAGCGGGTTCAGAAAAAAACTTGAAAGTTCCAATAAAGCAAAGCTTTAACGGTCCTTGAATGTTTTAGCTTTCCTGGTAAACGAAGACAAAATTTATTTTTATTATAAACAATAACTAATTACAAAATCTATACAAAACAATCATTTTAATTACTATCAAATAATACGAAAAATTGTGAAAAAAAAATCAGATATATACTTTATCTGAAGTTCGCCAACTTAACGCCCGGCGAGACAGCAAAGAGAATGGTAACGTGTCTGCTTGCGCGGAGAGTTTATTGTCATTCTGGTCATAAATTGCATGTTTCTTCGACCAGTTGTGTCGATGGGTTCTCGCCAACTTAAACGTCGTGCAGGATTTATTGCTGGCTGGTTTTCAAATTGCCAGGCTAGAACTGAGGCTCAGATTTGGCTTTAGATGTGTTTTAATGTTTGTAAATTTTCTTAGCTTTGGTTTTATTTGGGATTTATGTACACTTAGTCATACCTGGATTGGATCACGTTTTCAGGTCGTGGCTCGTTCCTGGTATCTGGAGCACTCAGAGCATGCTGGGAAGGTGACATGCCCCAACTTCCCCTGGGAGGTGGGGGGGGGGTGGAGGAGGGGCGGCTTTCACTGGGTAATGTGAAAGGAATTGTCTCCCGAGGCATAGCAGAGCTATATTGATAACAAGCTCAAAATCAAGCTGTGACCTAAATGAATATATAATTTTAGAGCGTAGGTGTAAGTATTTAACACGTTGAGCTTTGCTAACTATCAGTTGTGAGTTTAATTCCAAACTAGCTTTAGGAAGACGAGCCTTGTACTGTCCAGATAATATTATGCCTCGTCCTTGATCCATCAGCTGTAGGGAGAGAGGAGTCCGAAACATTGGCAACGTCTGGCTTTAACTTGCTACCATTGCTTTGCTATGATCCAATCGTCGATCAGATAATTGAACCATTTATTTATATGATGCTGTTGCACCAGATGCAAATAAACTTTACATCTTCAAGGAAGTCAATTCTGTTTCTCAGGGTATGGAGTTTTCCCTCGTAGGCTACTCTCCAAGTGGAAAGGATCGAGACATAGTCCGCTTACAATGAAGACGTTTGCCAAGCATCGTGGTTAATTTTATGTGGTTATAATATTATGGTAAACATTCGATGGTTAATTTTTTTGTAAACCGTACCTGAGTAAAATTCTAAAAGTTGTGAGTGACATTAGTCCTGTGATATGAAGTTGCCGTCACAGATGTTACCATAACAGTTTCATGTACTGACCCTCTCCCCCACCACTGAAAAGATATCATGTCCTGTCCACCCCCCTTTACACCAGTGGAAACTGGTAATGTCACCCCCCCCCCCTTACCCTACAGCTGGAAACTAGACATGCGCCCCTCACAACACTTGAAACTTGTCGTATCCCGACCTCTTTACACTACCACTGAAAAGTGATAATTTGCAATATGGACACAAACCCAAACCCATCCAGTTTTTCAAATGTCAAACAGTACAATAAACATGTCAGTGGTCCTGGGTCGTGTCGGACTTGTTGCAGTTTTCTGCAACAGTTCCAGTATGTTTCTACAGCCTACGTGTCAACAGAATGACAGGCCTCTGCCTAAAAATCATGCCCATATTTGGGTAAAAGATCTGACGATCCGGTCTTACGTTGCCTCAACAAGCTACCTGCGTGCAGAGGGGGGGGGGGGGGGGGGGGGGTGAGCAGGCCTGATTTATTAATTTGACAATCTCAATGCCTATCACTCTTTTTGACATTATACTTTCCGTATCGCAAAACTTTTATAGAAATAGCGGGCATGAGTGTAGGATAGTTCTATGGTAGTCATTGATATTCCTGTAATAAATGCGTATTTATATTAAAGTGTTTGATATTCATTAAGTGTAGTGTAGGGGTATCTTTTAGATTACTTTTGCCCATTTAATTCCTCTGCACTATAGGGGAGTCTTTAAAGTAATTATGTTCATATTCTTTTTACTGATTTTCAAGGACATCCGTAGAGTAATTGTATCCATATTTATTTTTATACACTGTAGGGACATCTTTAAAATAAAATTATTCGTATATTCATTCTATTTTAAGAGCATCCATTAGTATCCCCACTTATAAAGGCATCCATACAGTAAGTACGCCTATCTTCAAAGCATCTTGAAACTAATTATGCTGATATTCGCTGCACAGTCAAAACTGCCTGGGAAAAACGGCTTCGTCAAAACGGCCCCGTTAATATGACCCTGTCAAATTGACCCGGACAAAACGACCCAGCCAAAATAGCCTCGTCATAAGGACCCGACCTAATGGCTTCTGTCGATTGGGCTCTCGTCTAATTGACTCGCAACATATAGGTTCTCAACAAATGGGCTCCCGACAAATGGATTCCCGACAAACGGCTCCCGGCATTAGGGCTAACGACAAATGGGCTCCAGACAAATGGGCTCAGATATAATGGCTCCCAACAAATGGGCTACTGACATATTGGCTCCAGACAAATGAATCGTATGACCACTATTGGCATAACAGTTATCATTTTGTCCTACCTCCACTACCACTAAAACCTCTTTTAAATGCCTGATTGAAAAAAAATGCCATGAACCAAAAGCAATTCATAAACAAATCGAGTCCTTAACAGCTAAATTCCACCAATTCTAAAAGTTTTGATAATGTTTAATTTACAAAAGTAAAGTATATTGCTTAAAAGCGAGCACGAAGCTTAAATGTATGGTATACATGATGTTTACAGGTTAACGACATTTTGTTTTGATAATCTACAAGTATACTGCAGGTAGGCATGTACAGCATGGGCTTCTCTCCCCACACACGGACTTAAACAGCCTACAACCGACTCATTTATGGGAGTCATAGTTAGAGGAACCTTAAATATAAAACACTACTTATTATACTAAATGAAAAAAAAGGCCTGCAGAACAAGAGATGCAGAAGTTGTATGACTTAAGAGTGTTGGTTATGCTAACTCTTAAGAGTATTGATGAAGGTATCCCACTGGCAGGTATCATATTCAATGAGGACATTTCGCCAGGACACTTTGTCTCTACGGAAACCGTCTCGACAAGTACACTTTTGTCGATAGTTGAAATGACGGGAGCCGTTTTGTCGTGAGTCGCAATGACGGGAGCCGTTTGGTCGGGAGCCTTATTCACTGAAGCCCCTATGTTGGGGACGTTTTGCTGGGTCGTTTTGTCATTGGCCGTTTTGACGCCGCACACTTATATTTTTATAATACATTCGTAGTTACAGTTACAAATACTATGGACGTTTCGACCCAAGGTCTTCGTCAGCACAAACCTATACCGTTTCGGTAATTGTAACTGTCTTTAACTTGTGGGGCAAATAACACTATCTGTTTTATTACTAATTGCAACTACCATTTGTAGTGAATATACCAATAATCGTTGTGTCTTTTTTTGGGAGCATCTTTAAAGTTTATATGTATATGTTGAATAATACATTTTAATTATGCCCATGTTAATATTATAAATCTTTGGGGGATCTTAGGTGATATATATGGCCATTTGTAGTGTAATAAAGCCCATTCGGTTTTTGTTAAATTGTAGAGGCATCCTTTAGAATTTATTCAATTTGATGCATTATATGAGCGTACATAAGAACAAGAATGCACATTTTGTTTTTGACAGACTGTAAGGACACCTTCAAGAATAAGCAACAACATATTGTTTTTTGTTGTTTTTTTTTTGGGGGGGGGGGGGGGGGAGAATTCAGGCCATTTTCAGCGTTAGTGGAGTATCCCCCACCGAACTGGACAGGTAGTAATTCGATATGATTACCTGTGTTAAATTTGAGAAAACACGTCCAAGCTGTAGGCAGTGTCTGACATATCACAGTGGATGGTTAGACACAGATCGGAAGTAGAAGCGTTTTTTAAGGTTATAAGGTGTGGTAGGGCAAATAGCTTTGGACGACCAATGTTCACTTCTTTTATAATCAAATTGCTTGAGATTGACGTTTTGCCCTAGTGGTTTAGAGATGACAATGTGAAACATCTCTCGTTCAATGTACACTCTCACCTTAAGATATTCACGAACAGGCTAAGAGAGAAGCAGTCTATAAATAAAGGCGTCTCTTACGCTCTAATTGTAGACACGAACCCAACATTTTTGTGACCGCTGTCCCGTTCGGTAATACAAAACCGGATGAGACTCTTTTGTGGGGCATGGTATATATCCCCCCCCCCCGCAAACAATGTCTCCCCGCCCGAAGTTCCACCCATTGTTACACTTTTACATTTGTTCATTCCTTGGGATTTAGCGAAGTCCATATTTTATCTAGCTAAATGCAATTTTTACAAGCTTTAATTTAATTTGCTTCCTCTGTCTTAATCCTGTCTGTCTAGATAAAACTGGAGAGCAAAGTTCCGGGGACTTCTAACCAATCAATTTTCTAAATTTCGGCACGTGGTTCAAAACCCGATAACAATGCAATATGACATTACAATTTAATTACTCGGATGATTAATTAATTTTCATGAATCAATAAAAATTTTCTGAAATTAGTTAGCAGAATTGTCCCTGTTGATCAACAACTGTTGATGTTAATTTTTATGCTTTTCGGTGAGCAATGTTTCCCCGTGTTTTCCGGGTCATGTGACCTCTGGGACTAGTTTCGGCTGCGACAACTGACATTCAAACTCCTGTCTGCGGGTGACTAGGACAGTTGCTGACATGAGCATTGAATCAGAGACGTAACTGTGGGGAGGGGGGGGGGGGCGTCCCGGGCGCCGACCCTAGGGGGCGCAAAAAGTGGTAAAAATAATTAAAAACTCATTTAAACTGAAATTTTAAATTATAAACAGTAAAAGTTAAGAAATTTTACTGTTGCATGTCTTTGGATAGTAATTTAATTTAACTGATTTCTACATTGATTGTGTAATTGTTAACATATACCCTTGAGAAACAGTGACCGGCTAAAACCACTTTCCAGCTTTTCCTAGATGGGGGGGGGGTTCGCGACTACAATCGGAAGGATTTAGACTGGATAGGTGAGTTGATCAAATTTTAACACTTATAAAAGAAACCAATTGTATTAAAGCGTATTTTACGATTGTGTAACCGTAAAAAAGTTAGTGACGTATTTGGGGGGGGGGGGGGGGCGCTAATTGAAAGTTCGCCCCGGGCGCGGGGAGGGTTCGCTACGCCTCTGCAATAATGCATTGAATAACGAGTTGTATATAGACCAAATGAAGGTATTTTGATTTTATAATATCTGTGTGTATATTATTAGACAATTGTCGTATGTAAAGTA